ATTAGGCTGTGGATGACAGGACACAAGGATTCCATTCAGTATTTCCCGGAGGCCTCTGGGAGATGCAAAAGTACACAAGACCCACTCCCTGCCCTCTGGGAGCCCATAGTCCAGAGACAGACCTGAATGCCCAAAGTGAATGCATCTGCTGATAGAAAGTTCCAGAACTAGACAGCAGTGATGGCTGCATGTTCTGAAGGTATTTAACACCACTGAACTGTACACTTTAATATGGTAAAATGTGTATGTATCTTACAAGAAAAGGGTACTTGTCTGTATCTTACCACAAGAATGCACCCTATATTCTTTTTTTTTTTTTTTCCCACCCTGCAGCATCTGGGATCTTGGTTCCACACATTGAACCTGTGCCCCCTGCACTGGAACAACAGAGTCTTAATCACTGGACCACCAGGGAAGTCCCCCGCTCTACATTCTGACAGGATTCAAACAGGCTTCAGAAAGGTAACGCTGCTGGAAAGGAGGGTGGATTAAATAAATGGTCCTCAAGTTTTGCCACTCATGTTATGACAATAACCTGAGGAGCTTTTATAAATCCAGATTCCCAGGTCATACCACATACCAATTAAACCAGAGTTACTGGAAGTAGGGACCAGATATTCATATTTTTCAAGAGTCTCCAGGGCATTCCAGTGTTGGCCAAGTTCAAAAAAAGCAGAGACCAGGATTGAAGCAATTAGGAGCCCTTCATCTCAAACACTTAGACATGAGCACCCCCCAAACCTGAACAGAACTGGGGGTCAGTCTCAAACTGTTTTCTTATTAGCAACCTCATTTAATTCCACATGTAAGTATTCTAACAAGACCCACTTTGCAGATCACTTGACTGGCCCAAGGCCAAGTCCCCAAAGTGTCCCCATGAACTGAAAGCCTGGTCTGAACCCAAAGTCAAGGACCCTGTGAATAAATCGAGATAAAGCAAGAAAAGTTAAATCAAGCCAAAGATCACTAATACTTCAACAACAACAACAAAAAATCCATCACTGGAACATAAAATTGCACTCCAATATTGCATCACTACATGGGCCAAGCAAAAAACAATGTTTGGCTTTTCCAAAAGAACTTACCAAAAAAATTAAGAAGCTGCATATAAAATTAAGCTAAGGGCCTCTGTAACAATCTAGAAGGGTGGGATGGGGAGGGAGATGGGAGGGAGGGGACATGGGTGTACCTATGGCTGATTTTTAAAAGATATTTGACAGCAAATATTCTGTAAGCAATTAATTTTGTAAAGCAATTAACCTTCAATTAAAACATAAACTAAAAAAAAAAACATAAACTTAAAAACTTAGCTAAAACACTCATCGCAGGGTTCTGATAAGAGAAAAATTGGAAACAGTTCAACAGAAAGGACTGGTTAAATAAAATGAAGTTATAAAAAAATTTTTTTAAAGGATGTTCAGGGCATAGTGAGTGAAAAAGTAGGTCTACAAAATATTATGCACAGTGCGATTTCATTAAAAAAAAAAAAGTGGAGGAAAATAGACAAAAGAGAAAGGGAGCAGGTATAAACCAAATTGCTGGAAAATGAGACTATGGGGCGGTTTTTATTTCCAATTATTCCTTATCCAGATTTTTTCCTAAATTTTGGATACAAGGACTTCCCTGGTGGTCCTTCCCTCCGAGCTCCCAGTGCAGGGTGCTCAGGTTCAATCCCTGGTAAGGGAACTAGATTCCACATGCCACAGCCAGAGTTCACATGTCATAACTAAACAACATCTGGTGTGCCACAGCTAACACCCAGCACATCCAAATATTTAAAATAAATAAGTTAAACAAGTAAATTTTGACAAAGAAACTTTTATAAAGAGAAACAAGTTAATCTGGAAAATTAACTCTTTCTTTGAACCCCTTCAACAGTCTTAGAATCTTTTTTTTTTGGCCATGCCAGGCAGGTTGCAGAATCTTAGTTCCCTGACCAGGGATCAAGTCCACATCCTCTGCAGTAGAAAGGCAGAGTCTTAACCACTGGACCACCAGGGAACTCCCAACACTCTTATGACTTAATTAAGAATCCCCTTCAATAAAACGAGCTTCCCTGATAGATCAGTTGGTAAAGAATCCGCTAGCAATGCAGGAGACCCCTGTTCAATTCCTTGGTCAGGAAGATCCCCTGGAGAAGGGATAGGCTACCCACTTCAGTATTCTTGGGCTTTCCTTGTGGCTCAGCTGGTAAAGAATCCACCCGCAATGTGGGAGACCTGGGTTCAACCCCTGGGTTGGGAAGATCCCCTGAAGAAGGGAAAGGGTAGCCACCCCAGTATTCTGGCCTAGAAAATGCCATGGACTGTATAGTCAATGGGGTCACAAAGAGTAGGACACGACTGAGTGACTTTCACACACATACTTAAATAAAACAGCATAGACTGACACATAACACTGTTCAATAAAACAGCAGAGACTGATTTAAGTGAACCACCTAAGATGAAAGCTTTTACACCTCAAGTATTAGAATCAGTTCTTGGAGCCCTACTGGTTCAAATCATAGGTACAAGAAAATATGCCTCAATCTCACTCTTTTTACCTTCAATAAAGATGAACAGAAATAACTAAAATATCCACTGCCTTTGCTTTTTTTTTTTTTTTGCCGTACCACACAGGATGTGGAACTTCCCTGATCAGGGATCAAACCCATGCCCCCTGCATTGGAAGCAAGGAGTCATAACCACTGGGGCACTGGGGAAGTCCTGCCTTTGCTTTTTAACTAGAATCTTTTCTATCCAGTATGATGAAGTGGGAAATGCTCTGAAGCCAGATCAAATCTGGCTTGAGATCTGCAGACTGCTAGTCTGAGGCAAGAAACTTGTCCTCAAGTTCAGTTCAGTCATTCAGTCGGTCCGACTCTTCGTGACCTCATGGACTGCAGCATGCCAGGCTTCCCTGTCCATCACCAACTCCCTGCTGCTGCTGCTGCTAAGTCGCTTCAATTGTGTCCGACTCTGTGCGACCCCATAGATGGCAGCCCACCAGGTTCCCCCATCCCTGGGATTCTCCAGGCAAGAGCACTGGAGTGGGTTGCCATTTCCTTCTCCAATTCATGAAAATGAAAAGTGAAAGTGAAGTTGCTCAGTCATGTCCGACTCTTCGCGACCTCATGGACTGCAGCCTACCAGGCTCCTCCGTCCATGGGAATTTCCAGGCAAGAATACTGGAGTGGGATGCCATTGCCTTCTCCGCACCAACTCCCTAAGCTTACTCAAACTCATATCCATTGAGTCGGTAATGCCATCCAACCATTTCATCCTGAAGAGTTAATCAAGAGTTACTACTTTAAGGATTCCCTGGTGTTCCAGTGTTTTTAAGACTCCAAGCTTCTACCGTAAGGGGCTCAGGTTGTGATCCCACATGCTGTGTGGTATGGCCAAAAATAAAATTTTAAAAATTTAAAGAGGAGAGAGGGTAAGACTTCATGGAAATCTCACCGGTACTGGTGTTGGTGAGGAAATCGTCTTCTGCAGGACCTCTCATCTGTGTAGAAAGCAAAGCCTCAATTTCCTCTGTGGGAAACATGCAGCCCCCTTCCAATGCTCATTTTCACTGAGGGAAAGCTAACATCCTTAAAATGACCTGCAAGCCCTATACTTGCTCTGCCTCTCCCTATCCTCTCTGACCTCACCTGTGACCATCCTTGCCTTCTCATTCCTCTCCAGCCCCACCTGCCTCCTCACACACACCAGCTTTGCTTCAACCGCAGGACCTTTGCACTTGCACTCCCTGGGCTGTTCTACCTCAAATAACCCTGACTAACTCTTACTGCGGAGAAGGCAATGGCAACCCACTCCAGTACTCTTGCCTGGAAAATACCATGGGCAGAGGAGCCTGGTAGGCTGCAGTCCATGGGGTCGTGAAGAGTCGGACACGACTGAGAGACTTCACTTTCACGCACTGGAGAAGGAAATGGCAGCCCACTCCAGTGTTCTTGCCTGGAGAATCCCAGGGACGGAGGAGCCTGGTGGGCTGCCGTCTATGGGGTCACACAGAGTCGGACACAACTGAAGTGACTTAGCAGCAGCAACTCTCACTGCTCCAAGTCTTTGCTGGAACACCACCCTCTCAATAAGGGTGCAACCACCCTGCAAATGACCCTTTCACTCCTCAACCCAATCTTTCTAATCCCTCACCCTTTTTCTTTCATCTATGGCACTATTCACCTCTAACACACTGTATATTTACTTCTTACCTGCACTGTTTACTTTCTGTCCCCTGCAGACAAGCACCCCATATAAGCTCCAGGAGGGAGCTCACCCACTGATGACTGAGGAATCCCCAGGGACACAGCAGTGCTCAAAGTCCACACACACACAGACCCCTCAGGAGCCCTGGCACCCAGAAGCCCTGCCCTCTGTTTCAGACAACCTCGTTTGTGTCTTTGGATTAAACGACGTACTAGAAAACGTGTGTATCTCGACCTTAAGATGCAGTTTGGTCTTTTTTTTTTTAAGTAAAAGTTAGTTTGAAATGCCTAAAAACTGCAGGTCAAACAAAATCCTTCAAAACCTGGAGTCTTTAGAGCCTTTAAAAACCCTTTTGGTTGCTACTCAAAGACTAGGGAAATTGAGACGTGAGAAACTAACGTTAGTTTCTGTGGGTTAAAATATAAAAATAACCTGGCCCAGCTGCCGCGCGACGACCCTGGCCCTCCCGTCCGCGTCACCCCGAGGCGCGCCCGCGCCCTCACCGTCTCCCCGAGGATGCCCTGGACGACCCTCCACTGCGAGGGCACGGACGCCACGCCCAGGGTCTCGTCCTGAAGCGGCCCAGGCCGCTCGGGGCCCTCGGTGCTCGCAGTCCCGTTTGTCGCCAGCGCCTCACCTCCCGCGCTTCCCTCCAGGCCGAGCAGCCCGGGTTGCGCGCTGGTTGCCATGGAGACGGCTCCGCCGGCCCCACCCCCCTACCTCCCCACCTCCCCGCCTCCCCGCCTCGCGCCGACGCAGTCCGCCGTGACCTTCGCCCCCGCGCCTCCAGAGCGGAGGGCTGGGGCAGTGAGGCTATCGGCGCCATTTTTGAATTTGTCAGAGCGCACACTCCAACACCCGAAAAGAGGTAAATTATTCTTTTCCCATGATGCGACAACCATTTCCAGTTTTTGGATTCTCCAACCGCAGAGGGAGCACGCTTGGGGCTTTCGCGGCTACTCTGGGAGGGGAGGGAAGTACGGAAGCGAGGCACCCGTGCCAAGTTCAAAGATGGCGCCGAGCGGCCCGGCGCAGAAGGAAGGGCGGGAGGCTGCGGCCGCGACGGGCTTTAGAGTTGTGGGGCCTGGGGCTGCCGAGCTGGCGGAGTAGCGGAGCGCTCCAGAAGAGGCCCAGTTGGCGGCTACCTCGAAGCCAAGTGCTCGCTCTCTGAGCCTCGGTTTCTGCCTCAATAGAACGGAGATTTTAAATATCCATATATGGATCCAGAGTGTGGTTGAGTAGTTGGAAGGCCCAAATGAAGTAGAATGTAGAAAAAATGCTTGTTAAACCGAAGTTAAAGACTCGAACAACTACCAGTTATTGAGTGTCTACCGTATATGTTGATCTTGATAAATCCTTAAAATAACTTTATGAGAAATCAAATGTTATTTGTCGCTTGAGGGTGCTGATTGTCAAAAATAATAATTTCCCCAGCTCACCCATAAAGGCCACATCACATTTGTCCAAGACCCCACAGACTCTTGCTTGCCCCAAGACCCGGTTCTGAGCTTCTTGGCAAGAATCCTCTGACCAGGTCCTCTGGGCTGCTTTCTTCCTACCCCTGAACTCTCAGAGTGATGGAAACCCGCCCAATCAGAGGCTCCTCTGCACTGCCTCACGACTGAGTCCTCTAACCCTAATTAGGACTCAGTTCAAGTCAAGGCCGTGAGGCCCGATTAGGTTAGTGACACTGGAAAGACAGAATGCGATAGAAATTTCTTCCTGGAAGGAAAGAATCAGACAAAATTCTCCTTGTAAGGCCCTGTTAACACTAGAAAGTTTGCAAGCATCACCAAGGATGCAAAACTCACGTTCAAAAAGAAACTCAAGGCTGTGATGGTCAGGAGGCTTGGATATGAAGACTAAACACTGCTATGTCCTGTTTTCAGACTTGGCTCCTCTCTGCACCTTGGTTTCCCAGCTATAAAAATAGATATAATAAGGTTGATGCTAGTAGAATCTGCTTTATCGTAGTAAGGAAGGAGACTATTTCAAGAAGAGGAGGGTGGGACTTCCCTGCTGGTCCAGTGGCTAAGACTCTGTGCTCCCATTACAGGGAACCAGGGTTTGATCCCTGATCAGGGAACTAGGTCCCACATGCCACAACTATAAGATCCCACATGCCACAACTAAGACCTGGTGCAGTCAGATAAATAAATAAAATATTTTTAAGAAGAAAAGAAAGGTGGCCCAAGGTATTAAACACCCCAAACAACTTCAGTAGAGTAGTGGGAACAAAAACCAGCCTGCAGAGGGTTTAGGAATGAAGAAAGTAGAGAAGGTAATGGACATTATTGGGAAGTTCAACATAGGATGTAGGTGTGAGAGTAAATTAGTAAAACCTAATTGGAGGGTAATTTGACCTTTAGGTGTGCCTCCTCTTTAATCTAGAAATCCTACTTCTGGTAATTTTTCTTGAATTAACAATTACAGATTCACACAAATGTTGAGAGCCAAGGATATTCAGCAATTACTCATTCACAGTAGAATAATAGCAAGATCCTGCAGCCAGCCTAAATTTCCAAGCAAAGTCATGGCACACAACAGGTATTCACTAAATATTGAGAAAGAATGGACAGTGAGCCTTTGGTTAAGTGTGCTAGGCAGAATATAGGCTCAGGTGGCCATCAAGAGTGTTACTGCTCTTTAAATGTGGCAAAATGTTTGCAGCATAATAAGGTTCTTATAAAATGCAATTTATATACATTGTTTCCAGGTGGTGGTAGTGGTAAAGAACAGCCAGCCAATATATTAGACATAAAAGAAACAGGTTTGATCCCTGGGTTAGGAAGATCCCCTGGAGAAGGAAATGGCAACCTGCTCCAGTATTCTTGCCTGGAGAATCCCATGGACAGAGGAGTGTGACGGGCTACAGTTCATAGGGTCACAGAGAAAAGTGACTTAGCACACATCCTGTTTTTATAACAATATGTTTCTAACAAAACCCAGAGCTATAGATTCAAATATTGATAACAACAACAACAACAAAAAACAAATATTGATAACAGTTGCCTCTGGGTAATTAAAGTTTTTCTCTCTTAGAAGGGTTAAAGTTTTATGTGGTTTATTTGTGAAAAGAAAAGAGAATGAATGAACAAACGCTTAGCTGTGCTTGTGAGAGTATTATATCTTGAATGAGCAAGATAGTTTCAAACCATTTACCTCAGACTGGGACTTGAATCCACGTGCTGAAACTCAAACTGAGCCCACATCCCACAGTCTTCCAACTGAGATCACAGACCTGGTTTCAAGACCTAATGAAACTCAGGTTCTTGATGTCTCATCTCAAAAAGAATTCAGTGAGAGAAAAAGTGATAGGTAAGAAGTGGATTTATTCAGAAACACACTGTGCAGACAGTATGGGCCACTGCAGAGGGTAAATACAGAGGCCCCAAAATGTGCGTGGTTAGTTTTTATGGTCTAATGTCATAGGCTAATGAGTGGAAGGAATATTCCAACTATTGGGGGGGAGGGGTGGAGATTTCCAGGAATTGAGCCACCACCCACTCTTTGGTCTTTTGACGGTGCCTTGAAACTGTCATGGCACCTCTGGGTGTGTCATTTAGCTTGCTGACTGAGGATCAAGGTCTGCCATCTTGGACCCATTTGATTCTAATCGGTTTATGTTTTGTCCTGGGGTGATGTCATTCTTTCAAAAGTTGTGCCCTGCCCTCTTCCCTCCTGTTTCAAGTTGGGGGAACATTTCCAAGATGAGAGAGTCTTGAGCAGGCTTATGTGCTAGACAGGAGGGTACGCAAATGAAGAGCAGGACTCACTGGAGGAGGAAGGGAGAAGAAGGAACTGTGGGACGGCGGGGATACTTGCACTGTTTCTCTGCCCCCTTTCCCCATCCTAAAGCCACAGGCTCTCTGGCCACACTCCCTGTTACCCTGACAGCCATTCAAACTCCTCCACTGACCTCCGCCTCCCTGTCCCTTCCCTTCACCTGGAGCACTCCTCCCTGCTCCCCTATTTACCTCAAGACCAGATCCCAAGCCCATTGTTGACTCTCTCGGGACTGAGCTCCTCTACTCTGGAGCACTCCTCAAACTGTAATTTGGTAACAAGGTAGTAATGCATGTCTTTGCTCCAGTAGGTCAGCTCCCCCATCATGGGGACCATAGCTGTCCCCAGAGCCCAGCACAGTGCCTGGCACACACAGTAAAAACTAATTGAATGAATGTCTAACCATCAGTAAGAACCGTTTCCAGCCTTATACATAGGACAGAGCCTCCCGCTCTTTTTTTTTTTTTTTTTCCTGATAGTACCATGCAGCTTTGGCGATCTTTGTTCCTCAAACAGGGATCAGCAGTGGAAACATGGTGTCCTACCCACTGGACTGCCAGGGAATTCCTGAACACAATGTGTGCTAAGTAGCTTCAGTCGAGTCTGACTTTTTGAGACCCTATGGACTGTAGCCCGCCAGGCTCCTCTGCCCATGGGATTCTCCAGGCAAGAATACTAGAGTGGGTTGCCATGCCCTCCTCCATGGGATCTTCGCCACCCATGGATCAAACCCCACGTCTCTTGTGTCTCCTGCATTGGCAGGCAGATTCTTTACCACTAACTCCACCTGGGAAGCCTGAGGCCAGAGACCCTCCTAAATCTCCACCAGACCTCACTCTGCCTGCCAGGTTGTTTCTAGGAAGCCTCCTGCTTCCTACCTCTACTTCTCAGTGTAAAAAAAAAAAAAGTTCAGTAACTGTGTGTCCAGAAAGTGAAGTTGCTCAGTTGTGTCCAACTCTTTGCGACCCTGTGGACTGTAGCCTACCACGCTCCTCCAACCATAGGATTTTCCAGGCAAGAGTACTGGAGTGAGTTGCCATTTCCTTCTCCAGAGGATCTTCCCAACCCAGGGATCAAACCCCAGGTCTCATTGTAGGCAGACGCTTTACTGTCTGAGCCACGAGGGAAGTCCTTGTCTGTTCAGAGAATGTTTAAGTACATTCAGGGAGGCAAAAACTCAAAAAAGAAGCCATCCCCACTTTAAAACCTTGGTGGCAATTATTTTAGAAACTTTCAGTTCTTTTTAGTAAAACAACTCAAATTTTGAGTGTCTATACCATGCTCCAAGGATGAAACAACTAATTATATAATCATAACACCTCCTGGAGTATGGTGTTCTCAACATGCACTGCAAGCACTTTGCATAAATTCTCACAACACCCTTATAGACCAGGTATTGTTACAATCCACATTTCACAGATATGGGGAAGAATGAAGGCTCAGAGACCTTTGTGACTTACCCACAGTCATGCATAGCTGGTGAAGTGAAGGTTGGGTTCTAAAACCCAGAACTGCCTGATCCTTTCTTTAGGCAGGCCTATGCTTCTTCCTTTAAACCACTCCATGCCTCAGTTTTCTTATTTATGAAATTGAGATGCTAGGCCTATCCCATTGGGTTGAAATAGGACTGGATGAGTTAACACTTGGAAAGCAAGCACACCAAGCAGTGCCTAGTATGTTATCAGTATTTATCAGCACTCTTTAATTATTAGCATTATTATTACCACCAAGCCATAAGGGCTCAAAGAGACCACACAGAGGGAGACTGGTCCGTAAAGGATGGGAAAGATCAGTCCTGTGTTACAGTGTAGGTTCTCCGTGCACACACACACACAACTGGTCATCTACGTAAGTGCCATCTTTCACCAAGTTGACACCAATCATGTGCCAGGCACCATGCTGGTTTCTGAGGACTGCGATGGTTTCTGCCCCTACAGGCTTACAGCAGGAGAGCGACGGTCATGTGATAAAGGCCTGCTCCCACTCTGGGTGATGGCCAGGGATGTGTGGCAGCAGAGGGCCTCTGCAGTGTGGGGCCAGAGGGAACCTTGGGAGGAGAGGGCTTCTCGGCCAAGGTCTGAAGGAAAAGCAGTCAGTGTGGCCGTGACAACGTGAAGGTGAAAACAGGAGTAGAAAGAGGGAGGTGGGGTGGAGAAAGAAAGAGGGAGGCAGTCTTCCAAGCAGAAGGAAGAGCTCTGTGCAGAAGTCTCCAGGGCGATGGAGAACCTGGTGCCTTGATGCTGCAGGTGGACAGGGACCAGGTCATGAAGATGCTAAAGGGACATGAGGTTTGGACTTTATCACTAGATCACTAGGAAACCAGTGATGGATTTTTAGCAAGGGAGTGACTTAATTTGATTTCTATATTTTAATAAGAGGCTTGGCTGCAGAATGGATTGTGAACAACCAGATTCCCTTAGACCAGGACAGCCCTACTACTTCTTTATCTCTAAGCTGGGCTCTGGGATTTCCCAGGTCATTCTTTTGTGCTCTGAAATTTAAGAGTCACTTATTCAAGAAGAATTCCAGAACTATTTAAAGTAAAAGTGGTATCAGTGAAAGAAGAACAGCTTGGAAGAGGAAAATCCCATGCAGTTCTGGGCAGTAGGCATTACCTCAAAGTCACATGGCAGGCTTCCCAGCTCAGTTCTGGGAGGCCTTTACCAGGTAAGAGCTTCATTACTTCCTCCACTCATTCATTCATTCATTCATCAAATGATTATCCTACACCCTCTGAGAGTCAGACACTGTGCTCCAGAGTAGCCAACACCACCAGTGCCAGCTCTCTTGGAATTGACACTCTGAGCTTTGACACAGAAGTGATTACAGGGCGGAAAGCACTTGGAAGAGGCTAAGGGGTCACCCACTGGGGTGATGGAGAGTGGGGTGGGAAGGAAGTGGTGATAAAAGGCCCAAACCCAGGCCTCTCACATGGAAGAGCACAAATAGCCAGTTTATTCAACAAATCATAATTGAATGACTACCATAAGCCAAGGACCAGAAGGAAAACAAAACAATGGAGGGAAACAGAGAAGGATAAGGGTGCATCCCTTGGACTGCAAGGAGATCAAACCAGTCCATCCTAAAGGAAATCAGTCTTGAATATTCATTAAGGACTGATGCTGAAGCTGAAGCTCCAATCCTTTGGCCACCTGATGCGAAGAACTGACACACTGGAAAAGACCCTGATGCTGAGAAAGATCGAAGGTGGGAGGAGAAGGGGACAACAGAAGATGAAATGGCTTGATAACATCACCAACTCGATGGACAGGAGTTTGAGCAAGCTCCGGGAGTTGGTGATGGACAGGGAAGCCTGGCATGTTGTAGTCCATGGGGTTGCAAAGAGTCAGACACCACTGAGCTACTGAACTGAACTGAATTTTACTCAAAGCAGACAGGGAAGACCTTTAGGAGGAGGTGACATTTGAGAAGTCAATTCAATACCCCCAGGCTGCCCTTCCTTCTGCCCCTTGGCCTTTGCTTCCTCCCAGCATAGGCTCCATCCCACCCCCACCAGGAAAGGCCCTGGCTCAAAGGTGGACTAAGACAAAGGAGCCTTAACAAACTCTTTAAAACAGCTTTGTCCAGCTGGAGTTGGAGAGCTGGAAGGAAGGGAAGGACAATAGGGTAAAACTCCCGCCCCTTCCCCAGCAGGAGGCCCAGGAGGATAAATCCTCCTCCTGGTACTCACAAGCATTGCTATAGGTTCAGCCCCATCCTGGAGCAGCCATCCGTCCACTCAGGATCAAACAAGGCGTTGCTTTCTCCTTGGACCTGCTGTGTGGGAGCCCCCACACTAGCCCAGTTAATGACGATTATCAGAATGTCATGGAGGAGAGTTTGGCATCTGGCATTAGGGTTTAAAACCTTGGCTTATTCTACAGTTGCTGTGTGACTTTGTGTGCTTCCTGCCCTTCTCTGAAGCTCAGTTTCCTTTCTCTCAGCTCTGCAAATGTTTTTGTCTCTTAGCTCTGCAAAGCGCTGGCTCTTTTTTTTTTTAATTTGGCCAAACTGCATGGCTTGCAGGATCTTAGTTCCCCAACCAGAGATTGAACTCCACACCCAGTCCTAACCACTGGACTGCCAAGGAATTCTTTTTATTTTTTAAATCTGAGATTGAAGATTTTTCTTCTTAGACCAATCTTCCCTGAAGACTTGATTGAAAAAGTCTTTCCTTGTTATTGTCCGTTGCAATCTTGTTTGACTGCTTTCTTGGCAGCATTCATAATTTGGTATTACACATTCACTGTTTGTTTCCTCCTTTGCAATGTGTGTCTCCCTACTCTATTACACGCTGAGACCATTGTCTCCTTGGCCTCCAGTTTACCTGTGCCAGGCCAGTGCTCACCCATGGTAGGTAGGTCATCAGTGTATGTGCCCACCTTGCATACACATAAGGGGCTTCCCTGATAGCTCAGTTGATAAAAAAATCTGCCTGCAATGCGAGAGACCCTGGTTCAATTCCTGGGATGGGAAGATCCGCTGGAGAAGGGATAGGCTACCCACCTAAGTATTAGGCTTCCTTAGTGGCTCAACTGGTAAAGAATCCGCCTGCAATGTGGGAGACCTGGGTTCAATCCCTGGGTTTGGGAAGATCCCCTGGAGAAGGGAAAGGCTACCCACTCTAGTATTCTGGTCTGGAGAATTCCATGGACTGTATAGTCCACGGGGTTGCAAAGAGTCGGACACGGTTGAGTGACTTTCATTTCACTTCACTGCATACACATAACGTGGGATGATTACAATACTGGCCACAACTGGTTATCGTGAGGCTTCAGGGCATCTGGCACCTCCAAGAGCTTAATAAAAGGTAGCTGTAATTAAAGTACCTGGTTCTGAGCATGCTTTTTGTGTTTTGGGGCTGGTGTGACCCTACAGAGGGAGACTGGAAGTAAAGCAAGTGGATAGTCACCATTCCAAATGTTACAGTCTGCATCATACAGATTACAAACAAACAGCTGCGGTTCAGAAATAGAGTGATTTGTCGTGCAGCTGAGTATATAGATTTGTTTTGTTTTTAGAAAGCAAACCAGAACTCAATACATGAAGTGCCCTTCAATCAGTTACCTTGTCAGGTTATCAGGTATGTATTTATTCTGGGGCTAGAGTTTAATTCTGTGTGATAACAGTTTCTTCTGGAACAATCTTTTTAGTTTGTTGGCCCTCAAAAACAAAAATATCCTCTGTCCCTTGAAGACGGATTTGATTTTGAGAGTCCAGAGTTATTCAGAGACAAAAATAAATGATTAAATTAGGATTTAAAAGGTTGATCTTTTTTTGATATATAAAATGGGTTGTGAACACGACTTTTGTTCCAGTTCATTTAAAAGAATAAACCCATGAGAATGCCCTCAAAATTTCCAAAAATTGAAGCAAAATGAAAGAAGCCAGTTTTACCACATATTAAGATATAAAGTAAAGTCAGACATATTTATTTTTATGAAATGCCCAGAAAAGGCAAATTTATAGAGACACAAAGTGGTTGCCTGGGGCTGGGGGTGAGAATGGCATGAGGTTTCTTTTTGGGGTGATGGAAATGTTCTAAAATCAGATTGTGGTAATATTTACACAGCTTTGTGAATTTACCAACAATCATTGAATCATATGCTTACAATGAGGGAAGTATATGGCATATAAATTACACCTAAATGAAACTATTAAAAAAAGAGAGAGAAAATAATAACACAGAATATGGAATTGATACTGGGATAATCACAGCATGCATACTTGCTAAGTCACTTCAGTCATGTCCGATTCTGTGATCCCATGGACTATAGCCTGCCAGGCTTCTCTGTCCATGGGATTCTCCAGTAAAGAATACTGGAGTGGTTTGCCATGCCCTTCTCCAGAGGATTTTTCCGACCCAAGGATCAAACCCACGTCTCTTATGTCTCCTGCATTGGCAGGTGGAATCTTTACCGCTAGTGCCACCTGCGAAGCCCTGGGATAAGGATAGGTATCAATTTACTGAACAGCAAGTCCAAAAACAGACTTAAGTATATGTTTAATGTATGTCAAAGTATTGCTATATTTCAGAACGGAGTAGACTACCTAAATTGCTCAGTAAACAGTGTGCCCTCAAATCCTTTTGAATACATGCACTCCACTAGTCTATGAGTTTTGGGTTTTTTAAAATATTTATTTACTTGGTTGTATGCAAGAGACCCCGGTTTGATTCCTGGATCGGGAAGATCCCTTGGAGAAGGGATAGGCTCCCCACTCCAGTATTCTTGGGCTTCCCTGGTGGCTCAGCTGGGAAAGAATCTGCCCTCAATGCAGGAGACCTGGGTTCGATCCCTGGGTTGGGAAGATCTCCTGGAGGAGGGAACTGCTACCCACTCCAGTATTCTGGTCTGGAAAATTCCATGGACTGCATAGTCCATGGGGTCGCAAAGAGTCGGACACGACTGAGCGACTTTTACTTTCACCAGGTCTTAGTTGCGGCATGTGAACTCTTTAGTTGCAACATGTGGGATCTAGCTCCCCGACCAAGGATCAAACCCGGGCCCCCTGCATTGGGAGCACAGAGTCTTAGCCACTTGACCACAGGGGAAGTCCCTAGTCTATGAGATTTGAATGATGGAACTATATCCTTTTCATTTGTGCAACTATAAGGCCTAACTTAGTGCCTGACCACATATAATATCCATTCCTCAAAAGGCTGAGCTGTAAATTCCTTGCAGTTTTCAAAGTCTCAGGCAAGGGAATTCTCATCTTTTAAAGAAAAGATTCCTTGCAAATACTGTCCCCAAACCAAAGCTTCTCTTTATCTAAAATGTACATCTAGACTTTCTTGGTGGTCCAGCGGTTAAGAATCTTCCTGTCAATGCAGGGGATATGAGTTTGATCCCTTGGCTGGGATGATCCCACAAGCCATGGGGCAAGAAAGCCCATGGGCCACAACTACTGAGCCCATGCTATAAAGCTGGTGAGCTGCAACTACTGAAGCTTATGCCTTGCAACAAGAGAAGCCACTGAAAAGAGAAGCTGGTGCACTGCCGCTAGAGAGCAGCCCCCGCTCACAACTAGAGAAAGCCTGTGCGCAGCAATGAAGACCTGAAAGTACATCCATTCTACTTGGAACTCATCTTTTTTTTTTAACTCCAACAATTTTATTGAGATATACTTCACATACCATAGGCTTTCCTGGTGGCTCAGACAGTAAAGTGTCTGTCTGCAATGTGGGAGACCTGGGTTCGATCCCTGGGTCGGGAAGATTCCCTAGAGAAGGAAATGGCAACCCACTCCGATTCCCTCGAGAAGGAAATGGCAACCCACTCCAGTACTCTTGTCTGGAAAATCCATGGGGTTGCAAAGAGTCAGACACGACTGAGCAATTTTTCTTTCTTTCCTTCACATACCATATGTCGGTTGTTTAAAATGTACGGTTCAGTAATTTTTAGTATATTCACAGAATTGTGCAATTAACACAACTAATTTTAAGACATCATCCTGAAAAGAAATCCCATACCATCCAATCAATTATTACTGATCCAGCTTACATCTCACCTTCTCTGATTTCTGCCAGTAGATTTGTTTGCTTTATTTTCTCTAGTCCTATAGAACTATGTTCATATCTGTTAATAGTTTTTGATATGAACTAGATCTCATTCAGGACACAGGCATGTCTTAATCAGCTGTGAGTTTTGTATGCTCAATATAGAAAACAGAGACGTTATTACTACCCACAAGTCCTACAAGACCAGAGCCTCTAATACTATCTGAGGTCAGCAGCCATCATGTACCCAGTTTCAATGACCCGATCTCCTTGCTTCTCCTGCAAGTTCCTGCCTTAGGACTTAGTCTTTTTCGTTTCTCTGTCTAGAATGCTCTTTCCCTGAAGGTCACAAAGGCTGCTTACTCACTTCTTTGAGGTCTTTCCCCAAATGCCAGCTCATTAGAAAGGCCTGACCTTATTATCTGTATTTGTTCATAGCACTTTTCATAATCATTGCTGCCTGGCATATATTAGACATTCAATAAATATTGACTGAATGAATGAATGAATACGGTTCCATGTAAGCAAAGTTTCTTGTAAATATGTAAATTCCAGTATTTGTTTTGTCAACATTATGAACTGTAGCACCAGTTCTAGTGAAAACAAAAGTGATATGTAAACAGTTATTTGGGTAAAATTAAACCTTATGAACCTCAGTTACTCAGTGAGAGATGGCTTATGTCCCATCTGTTCTTACATTTGCCATCACTCTTAACTGTAGCTTTCTCATAAAAAGACTAAATCAGTATATATTGACTAAAATTGTAATTCGAAAAGATGTATGCACAGCTATGTTCACAGCAGAACTATTTATGATAGCCAAGACATGGAAGCAACCTAAATGTCCATCAGTAGATGAATAAAGATGTGGTATATATATATATACAATGAAATACTACCCAGCCATTAAAAAAAAGAATGAAATAGTGCCATTTGCAACAAGCTGGATGGACCTAGAGATTACCATACTAAAGTGAAGTGAGTCAGAAAGAGAAAGACAAATATCATATGAAATCACTTATATATGGACTCTAAAGTACAACACAGGGAATTCCCTGGAGGTCCCAGTGGTTAGAACTCAGCATTTCTATTGCTGGGGGGCCCCAGAGAGTGTGGCGGCACAAACTCCCTGGTTGGGAAACTAATATCCAGTAAATCACACAGTGAAGTCAATTAATTAATTAAATATAAATAAAATGAAATACAACACAAATGAACTTATTAACAAAACAGACTCACAGACCACCAGGGAAGTCCTCTTAATTTTCTAAGTTTTAATACAAATACTATTGTTAACTTTTTCTATTTTGGCCACACAACATAAGACCTTAGTTCCCTGAGCCAGGATCAAAGCCAGCCCCACCCCTGCCCCCCACCTGGCCCCTGGGAGTGAAAGTACTGAATCCTAACCATTGGGCCACCAGGGCGTTCCCTACTATGAACTTTTTAATAAGTACTAAGGAGAGCCCAGGGCTTCCCCGGTGGCTCAGAGGTTAAAGCGTCTGCCTGCAGTGCAGGAGACCCGGGTTTGATCCCTGAGTCGGGAAGATCCCCTGGAGAAGGAAATGGCAACCCACTCCAGTATTCTTATCCCATGGAGAGAGGAGCCTGGTAGACTACAGTCCATGGGGTTGCAAAGAATCGGACACGACTGAGCGACTTCACTTTCACTTTCAAGGAGCCAGAGCACAGTGAGAAGGCAATGAAGGAGGTATCAAATGACCTTCAGGCCCTGACACTCATTTAAAACAAAATACTGCCTTAATCCCTGTGTCTCCTTTGTGTAGTATGATAGGAAATCTAGCAGGAAATGACCAGAGATGGTTGCCTGGGGTTCTACCACAGACAACCCTTGGTGTGTTCTGGGCTCACCTGGCAATCGTGCTCTGGGTGGTAACCCATTTGCATCATATTAAGGCCATCATTGATGCAGAGGAATCAGAAAGACATTGGTTTTTTGTTTTGTTTTGTTTTCACAGTGATGGCAAGACCATTCGATGGTGTAAGAATGTTGTTGTTCACTTGCTAAGTCATGTCCAACTCTTTTCGACCCCCTGGACTGTAGCCAGGCTCCTCTGTCCATGGGATCTCCCAGGCAAGAATACTATAATGGGTTACCATTCCCTTCTCCAGGGGATCTTCCTGACCCAGGGATCAAACCTTCATCTCCCCCATTGGCAGGTGGATTCTTTACCACTGAGCCACCAGGGAAGCCCAAGACACTGATTTGTTTGTTTATTATTATTGTTCCCATGCCACAAGGCATGATCTTAGTTTTCTGACCAGTCTGTGCACCCTGCATTGCAAGCGCAGAGTCTTAACCACTGGACCATCAAGAAAATCCAGAAAGATACTTGTTTGAATCCTGACTCTTCTAACCCCCTGTTCCTTTGATTTTTGGACAAGATTCTTTGAATGTCAATTTTTCATTTGGTTTGATCTATAAAACAAGGACATAATACTGTCCTAGAAGGTTGATAGGAGGGTTTAAAAGAATAATGATATTGAAATCCTCTCATACAGGTATGGGTATTAGGGTTGTTTTGGAAAATTCTGGTTCCCAGAGGCAGCCTGGCCTCAGGGATACGGAACATCATGATCCTGTCAACTTTTGGGTGGGGCGGAGGGAGGCCTTTGCCTTGCCACCTTTTCTGCAGCCAGTTCTGGAGCAGAGTTACAAGTTGCCTAGTAATACCTCTGGGAATCCAGGAAGTTCAAGTTTTGGAAGCTGCTGAGGAAAGGAAAGGTGGGGTCTTGCCTGTTTGAATCTAAACTGACAAGTACTGAGTAGGTGCTGTACTTAGATGATTTAAATGACTCCAAGTACCAGAGCTCAGATAATCTTTTGTTTTGCTTTAATGTGATACATACATAGAGGTTTCCCTGGTGGCTCAGTGGTAAAGAATCCGCCTGCCAATTCATGAGATGTGGGTTCCATCCAGGAGATTCTCCTGGAGAAGGAAATGCCAACCCACTCCAATATTCTTGCCTGGGAAATCCCATGGACAGAGGAGCCTGGCAGGCTATAGTTTATGGGATGGCAAAAGAGTCAGACACGACTTAGTGACTAAACAACATAGATACAGAAGGTTCAAAATGTACAACAGGGTGAAGAGTGAAACATCTCCCTGTATCCCTGTCCTTTCATTTCTCACCACCCAGTTCCCTCCCCAGGGATGACCGAGTTATCACGGTCACAGGAGTCCTTTAAGAGCTATTACAGGTATACAGGCAAATAAGTGAATGTGTATTTTTTTTCCTACCCTCCCTTTTACCCAAATGGTAACATACTACCTACTTGGTAGGACTTTGCTTATTTCACTTCACCACCTGGCTCTGATTCCCCGCTTAATTCCACAGTTGCAGCTCACTCCACTGTATGGGTCACCCCTTTTGGTTCCCTGAGGCCAAACGAAGTTATTAGGTTGTTTCCAATCTTTCACTTTTATGATGTTGCAATGAATTGCCGACACAAGTGCCGTCTCATTTACCTATAAGATAAATACCTAGGAGAATTTCTGGGTCAAGGGTATGTACGTCTGCACTTTTAATAGTTACTCTGATGGTTAGATTGCCCTCCAAAGGGGCTGGTATCTATTTAAGGGGCCATCTTTCAGGTAAGGTGTTTTTAAACTTTTGGATCTCAGATTGGAGGCTTAAAAAAAAAAAAAAGGAACCTCAAGATAGCTGACGTCTATATGGGTCTCAAGAAGCTCCTTTTGCTACTCCTAGTTGACCCCTTTGTTCTTTGTTTCTAAAAACTGAGCCAGTGCAGAATCCTAAGTACACACCCTCTGGCTGCTACAAGCAAGGGGTTTAGGGTTTGCTCCTCAACTTCCAGAACTGTCCTTTGCTGATACTTCCAGAAATCTGCAGCTAGGGTGTCTGTCCTCTCTTCTTGCACACATCCTGCTCCTTCTCCACTGCTCTGACCATCTAGCCACCTATTCTGTGGCTTGGGGGTTAGCTGACTCCCAGTTTCATCAAAAGAGAGTTTTTGTTTTCCAGTTTTTTTTTTTAGGACACTTTCTTTGGTAAAAACAGGGGAAAAAAATGACTGACTCTCCTTATATTGAAAATCCTAAAACAAAGAGGCTAGTATTATTATCACTCATTTTACAGGTGTGGACACTGACACTTAGGTTGATTAGAAAGTGTATCCCTCCAAGAAAGTGACCCCAGAACTGTGGTTTTCACCATCATTCAGTTATTCCACCCATGACCTTAAGTAAATCTCTTCTCTCGGGTCTCAGTATGCCCACCTGCGAAACCAACACACTTGAGACTTCCAAAATGTCTTACTTAGAAGCCCAAAATTCCCAAGAAGCTGTCAGAGAAGGTGAGCAAGAGATGGTGATGGTGATGGTGGTGTGCAGTCTTCCACCAGAAAACAGCTCAGCTTTTTATCAGTATTGACATCACTGATTTATTTTGATTTGTTAAAAGGGTAATTAATTGGTGAAAAAAAGAAAAAAATTTGCACTATCTCAGGTTGGAAACTCATGGCTCGTAGGCTGCAAGTGGCCTGATAACAGGCTTTATTTGGCTCACAAAGTGTTTTTTTTTTAAATATATATTTATTTGGCTGTGCCGAGTCTCAGTTGTGGCACGTGGGATCTAGCTCCCTGATTAAGGATTGAACCTGGACCCCCTGCATTGGGAAGGCAGAATCTTAGCCACTGGACCACCAGGGAGTGCCACAAAGTATGTTTTAAAAAGTTTAACTAAAAAAAAAAGTTTAATTAGAGGTTGAGATGGTTGGATGGTATCACCAACTCAAGGGACATGAGTTTGGCCAAACTCCAGGAGATAATGAAAGGCAGGGAAGCCTGGTGTGCTGCAGTCCATGGAGTCAAGAAGAGGCAGACATGACTTACAGGTTGAACAAACAAAACAAAAAGAATAGAGATTTCATATAAAAATGTGTATCTCTGCCTGCTCTTGAGAAGAATCAAAGATATGGTAGCTTGGGGTTCACAAACCATGCACACTGGTGTAGCAAACCCCGGATCCAGAAACTGGATCTCCAGGAAGGACTCCATAAGGCCCTAAACGCCCACTTCAGACAATGTCCCTCCCCAGGACGATGGTAACCACATTCGAGCTTCTAATAGCATAGATCAATTTCACCCATTTTTCTGCGTGGAATCACACAGCCTGTCCTATTTTGTGCCTTGTGCCTTTCACTCAACATTCTGTCTGCGGGCTGCATTCTCATTATGGATGTAGCTGTAGTTCATTTGCTTTCATAGTTTTGTCACATTCCATTGTACTTATCTCACAACCTATTTATTGGCTGTAGGTAGACACCTGTATCTTTTCCAGATCTTGACTGTCATGAATCTCGCGGCAATGGACATTCTTGCGCACATTTGTCGTGCATATTGGTGCACACAGGTATGCATTTCTGTTGGGCATGCAGCCAGCTGTACAACTGCTCTGCGTTGGTAGAGCTGCACATGGTTTTCCAGAGTGGTTTTATCAACCTACCTTTCTTTAACTGCTATGAATTCCAGTTGCTTCCTTACTCAGTTATTACCTGACAAGCTCTGAAAGGCATTGGGTTTGGGGAACCCCAAACAAGATGTCTTCTACAGGTTCTTTTAACTTTTTTTTTTTCCCTAGTTAATCTATTGATTTGACTGTGCTGGGTCTTAATTGTGGCACTCAGGATCATTAATTGTGACATGCCAACCCTTAGTTGAGGCCTGTGGGAGCTAGTTTCCTGACCAGGGATTGAACCTGGGCCCCCTGCATTGGGAGCATGGAGTGTTAGCCACTGGACCACCAGGGAAGTCCCAACAGGTTCTTCTTAATCTTCTAATCGTATGTGAAAGAATGAATGGTTGCGCTCAGTTGCCTCAAGGATAACTGCTTTTGCTCTTCCTTTGTAATTTTTGACTGGATTCCTTTAACATTCATTTATTCCTTGAAGCTTAGATCTAACTACCTGGGAAGTAGTTAGCCAGACATGGCGGTGGGAGTGGAGAGACCGAAGAATGTTACAGGCTGAGGTGAGGCAAGAGCACGTTGAAATCATCCGGAGGCCAGAGTAAAAAAAGAGGACAGGTCCAAGTTCTCAATGAGGTCCAGGTTCTCAATGATGGCAGGGCTGCCTCCAGAGAAGATTTGAGAAAGGACTGGGGGATGGGTCACTAGGGTTTCAAGAGACCAAGAGGATCCTAGAAAGAAAAGAACTGCCCCCTGCCCAAAGAAAACATCTTGCCCACCCAAGGCCGAGAAAGCTCTTAGAGAGTAAAGAGCAAGGAAAAGAAGTTGATTTTGATTGGAGGGTGGGTGGGAGTGGGGTGTGTCCCATTGTAAATATCCCCTCCAGGCACATTCCCAGCATATTTAAACCTCTGTCACCTGGGACTGCTTCAGTTCTCTGAGCTCACAGTTCCTCTTTCTTCTCCTGGGAGGGTTCTTGGCTTTTTTTCCCCAGCATGGCCCCCAAACACCAGTCTTCTCTTCCATCCCAAGCGAAGAAACTGAAGAAAGCCAGGCCGACGCCTGCCTCCAGGCCAGACGAGGCATCTGCTTCTTCAAATTTGCCGAAGGAAGGTATGTTCCAGCGCCACATTTTACTGGAGATTTAAGGGATTTGCAAGGATTGACTTCTAGGTGATTTTACCCCACCCCTCAAACCTTTTGAGTTGTGACTGCAAACTCCCCTGAAGGGTTTTCAGCAAGGGGCACATGGGTTAGGTTTACGTTTAGAAAGAACCAGAAGGGGTGAAAAGTGGGAGGCCTGGAGCGCATGTGAGTTCAGTCCTGGCAGTAACCCCACACCTATATTCCAGCCCGCAAACTCTTTCCTTTTGTTTCTTAGTTAAAAGGGACCAGCAGCCAGCCTGAGGCTGGTGGAAATGTAGGTGACCCCTCCTCTCCTTCACGGCTATCAGATCCAATCCACCTCTCTTTCCTGCTGTGGCCGCCAGCCCAAAACTCTGGCCGGGATTACTGCTACCTCTACCTCATGTTGCTTCCGGCTTCCTCCTCCTCCCTTCCAGCCACTGCAAAGCTGATCACGTGACTCCCAGGCCTTCCTATTGCCCTCGAGGTATGGACTAAGACTTCCGGGGCGCTGCCCACCTGGTCTCTGAGGACCTCTTCTGGTTCAGGCTCTCAGCACCTTTACCCTGTTCACCTCTTGGGGCTCCTCTCACCTTGGGGCCTGGAAAACCCACAGTCCTCTACCTGGCTCACTCCCGTCTCCCCACCTGTGCATTCCTTCTCCTGCAGTTTCCTGCTGAAAAGTTACTTTGGGGGCTATTCTCCTTTGAGCCACAGCTGCCAGGTGACCCCTATCAGGAGCCCCCATCTGGCCCTGCAGCACCCCGAGTCTCCAGTCTGGCCTTTACATTGTAATTGTTGGTTTCTTGGTCTGCCCCACCCCCGCATTAACCCTTAACTTGGAGGTGAGGGCTGTGTTTTGCAGATACACGGCTTGGAGTGGAGCACAAAGTGCATTGTTCTGGTGATGAGGCCTCCCTGATCGGTTGGGGGTGTGGTGGAGCGTTCCGGGGGCGGGGTTGGGGAGTGGGGGTGGGTTTGGATAGGTCCTTGGAGGCAGGAAAGCACTGCCCCAGGAAGTGACAGCAGGCTGGCCCAGGGCAGAGGGGAGGGACTCGGAGCCAGGGAATCTTCCTAATTTTCTGACCTGACTGAGGTCCAGCTTTGCTTGTGGAAGGAGCACTGGATAATGAGTGCAGAACTCCTGTGGGTTTGTTGGGTGATGTGGCAAGTTTAAGTTTAAGGAGTCTCTGTTAATCCCCTTCCAAATGAGATGCAAAGACCTCCTGCCCAGCTGATTATACCCCGACGTGGTCAAGCTGGATGGCCAGGGCTTGCGGCCTGGCTGCGTCCAGCTGTGTGACCTTGTTGGGCAAGCAACATAACCCGTGCTCCTTTCCTCTTCTGTAAAATGGACTCGACAGTATGTTAGGCTTGCTGTGAGGCTGAAGTGGAAGTGAAACACAAAACAGCAATTGGCTCATAATCAGTGCTCTTGAGACGGATAGTAAATTCCTTCCCACTTGTGAGCAGCAAAATGTGGATGAGTCCTTCTGGTCGCCTTCTGTTTAGCTTCTTGGGAGAATTAACAGGACCAGAAGGGATGGCAAGGTGTAACCATAGTTCCTCCAAGGTGGTTCATCCTGGGACACTGCTGCTTGTAGGGAATGCCAGCATTGCACTGTTCCAATCTTTAAATTGTGGGGTTCTCCTCCTTCAAAGAAAGCTGGGAAGGAGAGGAGAGAATTCTGAGAGTGAGGTGAGAGGCCAAGGAGAGTACGCAGAGCTCCTAATGTTGGAGGCCGCGAGACCACGGAGAATAATTCACAGTGGGGGAATTATCTCTTGGTGTGTCCATGCCACTCCCTTGTTTACTGAAACTCTTGCCCTTTTTTGCTTTCTCTTTCTCTTCTACTTCCTAGTGTGTGCTCTTTGAATTCATCTTGAGGAGTGCTGTGGGAAAGGTCAGGAACAGGATGGTCCTAAGGGCTGGGATGGAAACCTTGAAAGCCCATTGCCTAATCAGAAAGGTTTGGAAGGCTCCCTGGAGCCACTGCCCATACAGGACAAACACCTGTAGATCTGGTACTCAGGAGATGCTCTGGGTCACTGGTACCAAGCAGTGAGAGCAGGCTTAGAGTATGGAAGCAGTAACCTTTAGCACAGTGTTTTTCAGATCTTTTCATCCCACTTGAGTGTTATGAAATCATTTTAGTTGATAGTGATCTGCATTTAAAGAAAATAACATAGATTAGAAGAGTCATAACACTGACTTAGGGTAAGCATTGTTTTGTTTGTAGGTGTTTGTGTGCACACGCACGTGCAAGCACATGCTTAGTTGTGTCCAGATCTTCACAACCCCTTGGACTCTAGCCCACCAGGCTCCTCAGTTCATTGGATTTCCCAGGCAAGAATACTGGAGTGGGCTGCCATTTCCTTCCTCAGGAAATCTTCCTGACCCAGGGATCAAACCCACATCTCCTGCTTGGCAGGTAGATTCTTTACCACTGAGCCACCTGGGAAAGCCCACCTCTTACTGTAGTTTGTCAAAAACTCTGTCCTTAGGGCAGGGGTTTTGTTCTTCATTAGCCTCGGTTCTGCCATATGTATCAAAAAAGTTGAGTTCATCCTTGAAATGAGGATATTAATACCTATCTTGTACTTCGTGAGGGTTAAAAAAGAAGCAAATGCATATACTTATTACAGTCTGTGGCCCATGCTACATACTTCAGCAGTGCACTGGAGCCTGGTATTCTTTCCAGTTCTATTCAGTGGCATCAAAGTGGTAGCAGGAAATTTGCCTTGCTGAGAGTATTTATACACCACTGAAGTCAGCCAGTGCTACAATCAGGGTTTTTTGGTGTGTTTTTTTTCTCTTCTGGCAGCTGCCTGTCAAAGTTTCCCAGCTTCTTATTGGTGCTACTAATTTTTCCCTTAAAAAGCCTCCAACTGGGACAGGTATGGATTGAGCTAATTGAGAATAATAGGGTTTGGAGGAGAAAGATTAATTTCTGGGTTTTGGGGAAAGTCCCAAGAAGATGTCTGTTTTCTCTACCCGTGGACTGTCGCCATTTAACATTTATCCGTCACCCACCAATGGATGAGCTTGAACATTAAAGACACTGCTTGAGCTTTAAGAGCTGATAGTAAAATATGACTCCTGGGAGGCAAAAAATTCAACCCCTGGTTTTGGTTACAAATACCCAAAGATATTTCAGGCCTTCTGCGGTCCATGTCTTGGCCATGTCTGCCCTGCTGGACAGAGTAGAGCCTTGAGTAGTTTATGTACATTACTTGGAAAGCACATAGTTGAAATATAAGTGCCTTGGCCTTCGTGTTTCAGGACCTGGCCTCTAAAGCAGGCCTTGTTGATCCTCTCTGACACAGTGAAATTAAATTTAAAATGAACACTTTCGACCCCATCTTCCAGTTGTTTGGCCTCAGTGCCACGCGGGCGCAGTTACCTGGGATTTGCGCGTAGCGCTCTGTTTGGTTTCTTGTAAGCTCTGTGAATTACGTACTGAATTGGGCCAAAAGGATCCACAGATGAATGTGGCCCCTCCATGCCTTCAGAGGACTTCCACTTTGTTAGTCTTCTGTGAAGTTTATAATTTTCTAGCAGAAATAGGTTATTCATAGAGGGCAAACGACTTGCCCAGGTGTACACAGCCTGCTGGGCAGAGCTGAGACTAAGAACCAGGAAAAGGCCCTGTGCCCTGTGGACTGGGCAGCTTCGGGCTTTACCCCAATGGCAAGCCTGAGTCCGAAGGCAGCTTCCCCGTCTCGTAAATAGGATGGAGGTGCCGCCTTGCTTCACCCGCGAAGAGGGGCGCCCTAGTGAACCCAGGGCGGATATATTTCTGGGCCGGATATTCTGAAGCCAGCGTACTCCGAGGCCTGCCCTTTTGGTGGGGGTGTCTGCGGGCACCCCTCTCCCCGCGTACCCCCGGCGGAGGAGGGAAGCCTCTTCAGCCACCACGCGACGGCACCCGCCCGGGAGCCTGTGCGCAGCCCGGCGAGGCCCCGCCCCTCGGGCCGCCGCGCGCCCGTAGCGCGCAAATGTCCCGGGTCGGGCTGGAGAAGGGGAAAGCGGGGGAGGGGAGCGCAGCGCCGGGGGGCCGGGCCCCGTACGTCGCGGCGTTCCTTCCTCCCGCCTCTTTGCCAAGCCCTGTGTCTCCTCGCCGCCGCTCCGCCCCCCCTGGGTCCCGGCGCCCTCAGCCAATGACGAGGCGGCGCGAGCCTCTTCGGCCGGGGGCGGGGCATGCGCGCGAGCCCTGGCGCGCCTGCGCCCTGCCGCCGGCCCCTCGCCGTGAGGAGGAGGTGGAGGAGGAGGCGGCTCGGGGAGATCGAGCAGCGAGCTGGAGCGCGGAGCGTGAGTGAGGGAGCCTAGCCGCTTGCCCGCCCGCCCGCCGCCGCCGCTGCCTCTCCTCCGTAAGCAGGAGCCCGGGCCGGGGCCCGGCACGCCGCCCGCCCCCCACCACAGCCCCTCCCTCGTCGTCAGGCCGCGAGGGCAGCGCGCGCGAGCCCAGGGGGAGGGACAGCGAGCGAGCGAAAGAGCGCCGGGAGGAGGCGGCCGGACCGAGCGGGCGCCCGCGCGTGTGGCGTGAGGGGAAGCCGCTGCCCGCCCCCCCCTTCGCCTNTGGGGGCGCGTGGAAGCACGCGGCCGGCGGCGCCGCCGCGGCCCCGGGGCAGCTCGGAGGATGCTCGGGCCGGCCCCCACGTGGGGTAGCCAACCCCGTGGCGGCAGCGCGCTGAGAAACCCGGCGCGGCGGCCCTGGGGTGTCGGAGGAGGGTCTTTACAATGGCTCGTTGGCAAAACCTCCTGGCCTTGTCCATAAAGGCTTTTCTCGGCAGGGGGGCTACACCAACCGGGGCTGGTTGCCGGAAATGAACCGCGCGATCCTGCCCCTTCACGCCCACTTAGCTTTGTAGGTTTTGCAGTCTTCACCCGACAAAAGGGCACATTTCCCTTAGCTCACCCCCCACCCCCCACTTTCCTCCTCTCGGCTCTTTGGCTCAGTTTCTGACTGCATGCTTGCTCGTTGTAAGTGTGCTCCAAAGCCGTGTGGGGCTGCCTCTGAGAGCAGCCCGCCTGAAAATGGGGTTGGAAGGTAAACTGGAGTGTTTACAGTGTTGGAGTTTTAAGGCCTTCCGCGTCTTGTCGGCATGTCTGATGTCTTAACAGTAATCGATACTGAGCAGTATTTTCAATATTATAAAAGGTGCTTCCAACCTGGAGATGGTGGTGTCCTAATTTTTGATATTGTTGTGGGTTTCCGTATTCTAGCTACTCTTTCGTAGTCTTAACAGCATGATTTGTGAGCACTCTTCTAATTGAAAAGTAGTTTGTCAACTGCACGCATGAACACGTGGAGAGCATGCCTTGTAGTAGTAGTAGGCAGGTTTTTTTAAAGAGCTTTATTGATATAACTCACGTCACAGACTGTTAACATCAGGAAGGAAAACTAGTTAAACTTATCTTCAAATTTAGTATTGAGTCTTCTTCATGCACCTTTTTTTTTTTTTTTGGCAGAAAAAGAACAGCAAGAAGCAATTGAACATATTGATGAAGTACAAAATGAAATAGACAGGTAAAGTTTTTCTCAGTTTACTTTGAAGTTTTCTGACCTGAGTATGTTTTGGTAATCATTGAAACTATGGTTAGGTAAATTTGTATCTACTGGCTAAGTGGAGGTGACTATACCTTGGAAATATTAGGATTCAGTGTTATTTTTTCTGTGATGTATTTGTAGGTCACCAAAAAGTTGCTAATGAAAGTACATTGACCTTGTATAAAGATTGGGATTACTTTCATAAGGGGAGGAATTGTTGCAGTGTGTGGACTTCTGATAGTATAGTATTATGGCATTAGTGTTGCTCTGACTTGCCTAATAACTTTGTTACTTGATTGGCAGCTTTTTCTTCTTGAGGGAAACAATTGAGGTTAGCCTAGTAATGGAGTAGATAAAGTATAAAATGTTACCAAAATGCTGTTTTGGTACTTTAAGAACTGTCAGTTACTGAGTGCCTGTTGGCAAAGCAGTTTAGATTGCCATCTCAATTTTCAGTTGAGTCTTCGGCTGCAAAAATGTGATTTGGTTATTACAAATAGGTACTTTGCATTGTTCTAAAGCTAACAAGAGTCAATAATTTAAATCTCAGCCATTTTTGTATTTGTTAAGTACCATCATTGGTCAACGTGTCTTTTCATTTGCCTCAGACTTAATGAACAAGCCAGTGAGGAGATTTTGAAAGTAGAACAGAAATATAACAAACTCCGCCAACCATTTTTTCAGAAGAGGTCAGAATTGATCGCCAAAATCCCCAATTTTTGGGTAACAACATTTGTTAACCATCCACAAGGTATGTGATGGCAGGGCATTATTGAAGGATATGGGATGTCCACTTGTTGTAAAGGGGAGGGATCTTGGTTGAGGGCTCGATCCTACATGTTGGTTACCTGCAGAGTTTGAAAGAGGGAGAGGCTTGCAATTAATGCCTTCTATTTATAAGAGATAGTATGCTAATGTGGGGTTGTGTTTAATTACTTGATAAAAGATGATGGTAGCTCCGACTCTGAGCCATTTGGTTATTCAATTGATAGTGGATTTATGAAACCAAATTTGGGCAATCTTAAAAGGGATTGCTGAGTTGTATAATCACTTGGTCTCCATGTGGGTCTAGTGTCTGCACTGCTTGGGGAGGAGGATGAAGAGGCGCTGCATTATTTGACAAGAGTTGAAGTGACAGAATTTGAAGACATTAAATCAGGTTACAGAATAGATTTTGTAAGTATCTGTAACTCATTTGTCACTATGGAAATTAACTTGAGCTTTGCTTAGAAGGGATATTTGTATTGACTCTGATTCTCTTATTGTTTATTGTAGTATTTTGATGAAAACCCTTACTTCGAAAATAAAATTCTCTCCAAAGAATTTCATCTGAATGAGAGTGGTGACCCATCTTCAAAGTCCACTGAAATCAAATGGAAATCTGGAAAGGTATTTGAGGACTTGTGCATTAATATTTTGTAGAGTTTGATTTAGTTGAACCATTTAACTAATACTTGATGGTTTGGTGATGTGTTAAATGCAGATCCTTAAAATAAAAAGATCTGTGTTAAAGCCAAGTACAGTAGCTTATGGTCTTACAAGTTAATGAAGCAAGTTTTTGTAGACATGGACTTAAATCATTTTGAATTTTACATTGTGGCTTTGTTTCCCAAAACCTATTTCTGTCTGCATTTAAATAGTAAACATAAATATTTTACATTATACTGTCTCAAGATACTGGTTGTTAAAAAAAAAAAGATACTGGTTGTTGAAGTAGAACTAATTTTATATGTATTAAAAAGCCAAATCTAGACAGTAACTTTCAAGAAAAGGTTGGCCTACAAATTTGACAGCATTCTTTGCAGACTTAGAATCCTAAGGTTTCTTCTCTTTATTAACTGTACTTTTTATAATTTCATATAAGAACAATAGTGTAGATCATATACTGTCCAGATTTTGCTCTGCTTTTGGGTTAAAACCGTATTTAAGTTGTAGAGACGAGGTATAGAGAGCCTGTGTATCATAAGTTCTTCCATCTTCATTTAGGATTTGACGAAACGATCAAGTCAAACACAGAATAAAGCCAGCAGGAAGAGACAGCATGAGGAACCAGAAAGCTTCTTCACCTGGTTTACTGATCATTCTGATGCAGGTGCAGATGAATTAGGAGAGGTCATCAAAGATGATATTTGGCCAAATCCGTTACAGTACTACTTGGTGAGTTGAGAATGTTTTTATTTAAGGTTGTACTTGTTTCATTTGTTTGAAAGTGAGTTCTTAAGGTAACCTTTGGTTTTGGTTTTTCCCTAGGTTCCTGACATGGATGATGAGGAAGGGGAAGGAGAAGAGGATGACGATGATGATGAAGAGGAGGAAGGATTGGAAGATATTGATGAAGAAGGGGATGAGGATGAAGGTGAAGAAGATGAAGATGATGATGAGGGGGAGGAAGGAGAGGTAAAAAGATTTGGTTAAATCCAAACAGATAATCTTCAAAGAATTCACCGTGTTACTTTGGAGATTACATATATTGTGTAGTGAAACTGATTCAACTAGTTGTGGGGAGATGTGTAAAAAGGATAGGTTGTCTTGTCCAGGATTGAAGGAAATTTTGATAAGTTTATTGTATCACTGATTTAATTAGTTCTACTTTTGTGGTTAGTTTTTATGACTAGTCAATTATGTCATTCCCTGACCAGTACTCAGTGAAAGCACTGTGGACATTACAACTGCCCAAATTCTGACAAATCTCCCAAATAACAAAAATAGGCATGTTTTGGACAAGCCATTATAAAATTTTTCGAGTCAGATTGAGATAGATTAGGTTTGGCTTGATTACTTGGTCTGAAAGACGTCTGATTTGGTCAGTGCTGGAAGTTAATACATCTGAAACATCACTAGGTCTTTCAAAAATCAGATTGGGATGCAGACTGGGAAATTCTCTGGTCCAGCGGGTAGGATTCAGCACTTCCACTGCTAGGGTGCAGGTTTGATCCCTGGTCAAAAAACTGAGATCCTGTGAGCTATGTGGCCTGAGGGGGAAAAAAGTAGTTGACTGGTGTATAGTTGGCCCTTCATATGGATTGTATCTATTGGTTCCCGTTCTTCAGATTCAACCAACAGCTGACGTTCTTTTAATTGTTGAAAGTTCCAAAAAGCAGAACTTGAATTTGCTGAGTGTTGACAACTATTTATGTTGTATTCACAACTATTTACAGTGTAATACTACAACTAATGTGGGATAATTTAAATACATAGGAGAATGTGAGTAGGTTGCATGAAAGTACTATGCCCTTTTGTTTAAAGGACTTGAGCATTCAGAGGGTTGTGTTGTGTTTTGTTTTGAAAATTTGTATCGGCTTCGATGAGCTGTATGTGGGATCTGAGCTCCCTAGCCATGGACTGAACCTGTGCTTCTTGCAGTGGAAACATGGAGTCTTAACCACTGAACTACTAGGGAGGTTCCCCTGAGGATTTTTATATGTGGAGGAGGTTTTGAACCATCCCTCACACATACCAAGGGACCACTATGGAGGTTCATAAAATTCATTTCCCCTGGCATGTCGTCATGTTCTGTGGGGTCCATCATCGTCCATATGAATATTGGGGACTGACCTTAGAATTAATCCTAAAGATTAACTGCCTGCTTTTTTTTCTTACAGGAAGATGAAGGAGAAGATGACTAATGGAACACTGATGGATTCCAACCTTTTTTAATTTTCTCCAGTCCCTGGGAGCAAGTTGCAGTCTTTTTTTTTTTTTTTTTTTTTTTTTTCTTTTTNTGGGAGCAAGTTGCAGTTTTTTTTTTTTTTTTCCTCCTCTTGTGCTCAGTCGCCCTGTTTTTGAGGTCTCTTTTCTCCTTTATACCATGGTTCACAACTTATTTAGGGAGGGGGGAAATATCTTGAGCAGAACTCAGTGGGAAAAGAATCTCTACCCCTTTCTGTTTCAAATTCATTTTTATCCCTTCCTGTCTCAACAAAAACTATGGAATCAACTCCACCATGCTCTTTGGAAAAAAAGAAAAACCTTCTGCTCCCTTAGCTCTCTGCAGGAAGCTGGACGGTGCTAGGCCCCTGTGTAGTAGTGCATAGAATTCTAGCTTTTTCCCTCCTTTCTCTGTATATTGGACTCAGAGATTACACTGTATCTCTATGTGAATATGGACAGTTAGCATTTACCAACATGTATCTGTCTACTTTTTCTTGTTTAAAAAAAGAAAAAACTTAAAAAAATGCAGTTATTGAAGGTCAGCAAAGGGTCAGTTTGAGATGTTGGGTGGGTTAAGTGGGCATTTTGACAACATGGCTTCTCCTTTGGCATGTTTAATTGTGATGTTTAAGGGACATCCTTGCAGTTTAAGATGACACTTTTAAAATAAAATTCTCTCCTAATGATGACTTGAGCCCTGCCACTCTATGGGAGAATCAGCAGAACCTGTAGGATCTTATTTGCAATTTTGTTCCTGTTTATGTTTAAATTTTTCTTTTTGTTTCACTGGAAAGGAAAGATGATGCTCAGTTTTAAACGTTAAAAGTGTACAAGTTGCTTTGTTACAATAAAACTAAATGTGTACACACACACACACACACAAAAAAAAAACAAAACAAAAGCAACTCCTTGACAGTTTCCTAGTCTATTGCATCTACCATGCTGACACAGAAAGCAGCCTTGATGTGAACACAGTTATTGCTCAGAGAAATGTGTTCATAGATATTCCCATTTGCAGAAAGGATCTTATTTGCAATTGACATTCTCTATTGTAATTTTGTTCCTGTTTATTTTTAAATTTTTCTTTTTGTTTCACTGGAAAGGAAAGATGATGCTCAGTTTTAAACGTTAAAAGTGTACAAGTTGCTTTGTTACAATAAAACTAAATGTGTACACAAAGGATTTGATGCTTTTCTCTCAGATAAACTTAATAAGACTTTCCAAGTTTGACTTGTGTAATGTTACTGTCAAACTTTTTGTCACCCTATCTTCATATTTTTTGATACGCACTTTGCAGGATGACCTCAGGGCTATGTTGATTGAGTAAAGGGATTTGAATCAATGTATTAATGTCTCCATAGCTGGGACCCCATCATGGGTACAATTTGCCATCAGTTTCTGAAAATTCTGAAAATCACGTCACTGGGGATACCAGATCGCTGAAAACTCGGTTCTGAATGTGTTGTACCTTTGATTTGTATCTCAAATCATTACTTCAAAATACGGGCTTTTATTTACCTAGATATTAATAGTGCCTGCCACCACCATCAGACAGACCTGGTGCTCCTCTGCCGAGTTAACACAGGGCAATTGTTCGCATGTCTTCACTGGCACTGTAAGATGTGGCTGAGAAGACAGGCTTTCAGAGTAAGAAGTCCATGTTGGTGGTAAGAAACTCAGGTTAGGATTACTTTTATCTCAAAGTACCAGCTTTTTAGCAAAAAGCTCTCCAGTGAGACCTGTCTGTGTGAATCCGAAGGAGATGATGGACTGCTCTATCTGCTAAATGCCATTGTGCATAAATCACATTTTGAGAAGCTACCTAATGCATAAGCTTTTTAATGCTGTAAAATATAGTAGCTAAAATTAAATGCCACTTAGCTTTTTCAGAGATGAATTAATGGACAGCCGGGTCAAATTCAAAGCTTTTTGATGTATAAAAACTTTATAAATGAAACTACTCCATCAGTAGGCAAAGTGTAACAAAAAACCTGTCTAGATGGATAGTGTGTAATTTCTGCACAGGTCTCTGTAGCAAATACATCACTGTATACCGGTCAGGAATCTTACTCCAATAAAGGAACGTAAAGATTTTTTTTGACTGGGGTCATTCTCCTTGTTTCATAGAGAAATGTTACTACTTACTTTTGGATTTAGATGATAAGCTAGTTTTTCTGCTTTGTTTTTATTTGTGTTCATTGTGACTGGGAAATGGGGAGAACTGCCCCTTCAGGTAGTTCAGTAAGTATAGCATAGGTGCATACATCTACATGGAAAGGTATGTTTGGAAGTTGTGGACAAATTAACTGTTATTTGAAAGGTAGTCAATTCCTGAGGGTATTCAGTCTTTGATTTTGAGGTCTCAACATGTGAAGGGCTTTTCCCTAGAGAAAGGAAAACAGTGGTCACTTGAAACAATATTCATGAAGTAATAACTGATTTATGTTTCACAAAGTGACATCTTAACCAAAACTGGTTTTTGTATGCTGGTGTTGTTAGGTTATTTAATGAAACGACTATGTTAATTGGGGATGGGCTCAAAAGATGGGACCCCTTAAAGGGAATTTCCTCCTGATTACTGAGACTACCCTTTAGATTCCCTTATGCCTAATGGAGTGCTAGACTGAGAAGGCAGAAGGGGCAAACAGTGTAGTCTGCATTGTTCCCAACTGCAAGAAGAGTTTTTGGGCAGGCCCTTAGGTATGTTTTGAAAACTACCAGGTGAGTGGCTCAAAGCTCCTTTGGTACAACGACAACTAAACAAAAAGTTTTTGTTACAGTAGTTTCTCTGGGACATTACTTGCCAAGCTGTGCCATATTCTGCTTATGAGGAGAGCTTAATAGCTACATGAATTGGGACATAGGGGACAGTAGCTTATGTGTTTTACAATTAAAAATTTCAAGGACTCTCTGCAGTTGAGGTGGTCTGACCGCCATGATAGGTCCTTATGATTTCAAGCAAGTGGCTCTGAAATGCAGTTTGTGACCCTAGCCTAAATGTCAAACTGCTTTAATATCTGACCTGCTTCACAAATGTGTTAGCTGTTTGCAGGCCTAGGATGAATGTATAGTTGTGTTTCTGAATTAATTTAGTAATCTTTATCATTACTGTTTGATAACATGGTTTCACTTGAGGTCATAAACAGATTTGGTTTTTCTGCCTTTTTGTTAGATTTTGCTATAAAACCCTTCCTAGTTATTGCAAGAGGAATTATTTGGGGAAAAAAACAATGTTCAGGATTTCGTGAAGATTGAGACAGACTCTTCAGGAGATGAGTAAATAGCAAATTATTTTCAGTTGTTTAAAAGGACAACAGCTTATTTTGAAAAGTATCCCTCACCATAGCAAAAGTCAGATTTTGTATGCGTGGCTGTATTTAATGGAGATTTACAAGTTTTATTTTTAATGACTCTTGAGGGGAAAGGGACTACAGTTTTGTGAGGAGAAGAATAGGAAGTGGAGGGTGTGTGCCAACTTGATTAGTGACATTGCATGCTCAGATGCAAATCTAAGGGAGGTAAATCTAAATGTAGGTGGAGTGATGTCTGCCATATCCAGAAGGAAAAAGATACAGAAAGGGGTAGATGTGCACTTATGTAGCCTGTTGGGACTGTTCCTTTCAAGTTGATGTTACACAACTTTAATAGTTCATTAGCCAAAGTTGTTTTGGGCTGTTCACTATCCACTGGATGTTAAATGTGAACTTCAGTTTTCCTAAGAACGGTTTTATGAAATATCGTCACCCATCAGACATCTAGGTAAGATGCAGCTATCTCTTTATACTTAGCCATCAGCCAAGGGCTGTAGGTTTGTCCAGCCTGGGGTTCGTTAGGAAAGGTGGATGTATTCTACTTTGGAACCCCTTTCTACCTTAGTGGCCACAAAGCAATGAAACACTTGAAAAATCATTGAATTCTACATAATTCAGGTGCTATGGTAACCTCTCAGTTATTTTTTAGCATCGACATTCAGCTAAGGGCACCTCAATAAACCCCACCTGAAAGAATCTACCATGTGCCTCCTAGCATACTAGGTGTTAAATATTCGTCTAGCCTTCAACAGCTCTGGTTTGTATATATGTAAAAGTGTCACTTGTCTCTGATTATGAAGTCATCATTTCTCCCACTGAACCATGTTGCTTTTGCATATGTTTGTAATTTGGTTGATTTCCCATTGCAGGACTATCCCAGGATGCCCATGTTATGCCACATCTCACTTTCCATTCACTGTGAAGGAATTGGTCAAAGAGGAACTGACATGGTTTCTCCTATGAAAGCATTGGAGGGCACCTCTTCAAAGTCAGCAATAAGCCACCTTCAATATTTGACCCTTATTCACTTCTGGCCCTGTGGAGGAGGCTCCTTCCAGTGAAGTCATGGCAAAAGGTGCTGGTGAGCATAGGATGACAGGGATTGGCTGAACAACCCTGTGTTACTCAGTCCCTCAGTCGTGTCCGATTGCCTGTGACCCCGTGGACTGCAGCACTCCACGCTTCCCTGTCCTTCACTATCTCCTGGAGTTTGCTTAAATCCATTTGGTCAGTAATACTATCTAACCATTTCATCCTCTGCTGCCCTCCAATCTTTCCCAGCATTGGAGTCTTTACCAGTGAGTCAGCTCCTCCCATCAGGTGGCCAAAGTATTAGAGCTACAACCCTAGTGTTGGTTGCTCAGTCTGGCTGTTTGGTTCTTTGTGACCCCATAGACTGTAGCCCGGCTTAGCGATTAAACCACCTCCAGACTGTAGCTTGCCAGGCTCCTCTGTCCGTGGGATTTTTCCAGGCAAGAATACTGGAGTGGGTTGCCATTCCCTTCTCCAGACAATCCTAGACTAGTGGGCAATAAAGAACCAGGGTCCCCTAGAAAGCCATTGCCAGAATACCTAGTTTCCTGAGACGGTGTTTTTTTTTTCCACCTCAAGGTTTAAATGTATATTCTGTTTAGATGAGTCCTTTGGGGCAAAGGGTTAGCACTGGCTGAACCAGAGTTCCAGTCTAGTCAAATGATGGAGGGGGTGGGGGGGGAGGTCCTGAGAGATTTTGGATTCATTCCTAATTTGGTATCATTTGGGTAAGGCTTTATTTTCCCACGCACACATTTTAACAGTGTCTACAGACAGAGTCAAGACTTCTTAGGGGGTGACAGGTATGATATTAGCCCATTTTACACCAACGACATGGGAGAGAAGGAGAGATTCCTTCGGGCGGGAGCCAGGTCGTGGCGGGGTTCCGAGGAAGACGAGGCTGACCGGTCCCGGAGCGGACCGGCCTCACAGGCCTTGCCCCGAGGCCGGCAGGCGGCGCTGTCCGCACCTGGGCCTGCCCCTCTGACTGCAGCGACCCAGCGGCGACTGGAGAACCCCGACCCGGGAAATGTCCCTTTCTGTCCCTGTATCCCGGGGTGGGGCCCATGTCGCACGGGAGCGGGAACCGCGGCCTCAGGTGAGGCGCCCTGGGTTCCACATTCCGCGGGGACGTCGGATCCGGGGCCTCGTGGTCTGCACTGGGGCTCGATCCTGCGCAGCCGAGGGGTGGCGCTGGTCCTCGGCTCCCGCCAGGGCCAGCGGAGCTCGGGAGGGGGCGCCGGATCCCGCGTCTCCGGCGCGACTTCCCGGGAAGTTTCAAGTAGGAAAGCCCTGGCCGGGGCTTCCGGAACCGGAGTGGTGGAGAGGAGGGGCCGAGCAGCGGGAGCGGCGCCATGGAGGAGGGGGCGCAGCGGCAGGTGAACTGCGCCCGGAAAGGACGGGCTGCGGGCGCGGACCGGGGTGGAGGGGTGGATTGAGGGGGAGCTCGTTCACTGCCCCGGGCTCTGGCAGCGCCCCCCAGCCCCCTTCCCCTGTCCCTTCCCAGCCCCCTGCCCTGGGCCCCCTACACCTCCGCAGAGCAGATCTGAGCCCGGGGTGGGGGTGGGGGGGTAAGTGGTTTCTGCCCCCCTGGAAATGTCCCCAAATCACCTCCCAGTGACTCAGAGCCTCCGTCGGGCCAGCCCATGAGCACGTCTGAATCTGCAGTCAGGGCCACCAAAGGTGGGCCCGAGAGTTTCCTAAAAATCTATTCTTCCAGGTAGGACTCTAAGATCAATGAGCACCCGCTGGGACCGCAAAGGGGGCGGGTGCGGGCACCCAGGGAGCACTTCTCGGGTTGGCGGGAAGGGGCAGGGAGAGAAGCATGTGATCAGCAGGCGGAGGAGGCCGACCCCGCGCAGTCTGTGGGGTTCCTCCCGCAGCACACAGGAGGCGGGGCTCGGGGGACCCCCGGGGGAGGGGCATACATAGTCCAGCGGCCTGGGAGGGAACCTTCGGATGCACAGAGGCTTCCAGCCCAAATGGCGAGGGGGCGGGGTTGCAGCAGTAGGTTCGCGTGGGCCCTGAGACTGAGGTTGTGTCTCGTTATTGGGGGGCGGGGGGCGGGGAGGTGGCGAGGAGAAGTGGAGTTCTAGCTCTTGGCAAACGGGGATGGGGACGTCTGTGTACAAGATTGGGCCCCAGACGCCCAGCGGAAAAGGAGAGGTGTGTGCGCACTTGGCGGGATTCCAGCCCGGAGCCGGCAGGACCGCGGGCTTCGCTCCGCTCTCGGGTGAAGTGTTCTCCAGAAGACTCTTTGAGTGCCCCCACCCCTTGGGCAACTCTCAGGACTGCGTCTGCCCCCTCCCTCCCTCCCCCTTCCTCCGGAGGTCCCTCGGCCTGTTCCCGCCGTGGCTTGTACACATTTTCCGATTTCCTGTTAACCTCCGCCCAGCAGCGGCAGCTGGGTGACTCAGGACCCCGGTGCCGGGCCCCCAGCTCCATGAGATCTTTGTTTGCTCAGGCCTTTGGCTCTGGCCCTCTGGCCTAGGGCCCTCAAAGGATTTCCTGAGGCCCGCCCCTGCCCTCTGACAGCCGGGCCAGCGGGCAAGCGGAGGCCTGGGGTGGGGGTCCTTGAGACTGGGGTGGCCACCCCTTCCACTGTGCGCGGGAGATGGAGCGTGGAGAGGTAAGATGGAAGCTCTCACAGGGTCCCTGGGGTGGGGGTGTCATGAGTTACTCTGGGCCGAAGTCAGCTTTGGCACCGGTTGGTTTGAAATGGCCTCTGGGAAAGAGGTTTTCCTCTTCTTGCTCCCACTTGGGGTGAAGTGGTCAGAGAGACTTCGACTTCCTCCCAAGAGCTGAGCTGCGCTGGGAGTGGGCCCCTGGAGACCTCCTCAGCCCCAAGGGGCCTCTGCTTTGCCACCTGACGGGTCAGACCTTCAAGGGAGCAGCCCTGGCTTCTTCTACTCAGGCCACGGATTGCGCAGTCTGTCTGACCTTGGGAGGTCCCTTCTCAGTGCCGAGCCTATTTTTTGTTGTTGTTGTTATTTTAAAACATTTTGGTTGCTCTGGGTCTTTGTTGCGGCACACGGGTTTCTCTTGTTGCATGTTCTCTAGTTGTGGCGCGCAGGCATAGTTGCCCTACAGCATATGCGATCTCTGTTCTGTGACCAGGGATCGAACCTGAGTCACCTGCATTGGAAGGCAGATTCTTAACCACTGGACTACCAGGGAAGTTCCCGGGGTCTCTTTTTGGATCCTAGACTTGAGAGCAGCGTTATTACGTGTGGCTGGCAGGGAAAGACTGGGGCCCAAGAGACAGTGCCTTTCTGTCTCTGTGTTGTGGCCTTGAGCAAATTACGTCACCTCTCTGTGCCTCAGTTTCCTCATCTGTAAAATGGGGATGATAACTGCACCTACCTCATGGAGTTGCTGTCAGGTTCGACAGGTTCATGTCTGCACAGGTCTTAGAACAGAACACCCTATAAATGTTAACAGTTTTTTTTTTCCTCTTCCCCTTCTCTCTGATGGCAGAGGACAGTAACGTGGGCTGGAACGTAGCCTTGGGGCATCCATTTGGCTTAGGGATACTTGCTCTGAGGTCAGAGAGGCACCCTGTGGGTCAGTCCTGGGTGCCATCCACACCTGCCTCTCTCCCACCTCCTTCTGTGATGAGCAGAGGCTTTGGAGGTGGGGTCCCAGAGGCCTGATCCCCCTGCCTTCCCACAGCCTGGGGCAGGCCATCGGCCTCTGGAGGATGAGAAAGAGCTGATCCGCCGGGCCATCCAGAAGGAGCTAAAGATCAAGGAGGGTATGGAAAACCTGCGGCGGGTGGCCACAGACCGCCGCCACCTGGGCCACGTGCAGCAGCTGCTGCGGTCCTCCAACCGCCGCCTGGAGCAGCTGCATGGAGAGCTGCGGGAGCTTCACGCCCGCATCCTGCTGCCCGGGCCTGGGCCGGGCCCGGCTGGTGAGTGAGGAGCATGAGGAGGCCCCTTGGGATGGGAAGTGACAAGTTGGCCCTGCTTCTTGACCTTGGCCCTGACCTACTCTCAGAGCTTCTCCTGAGAGAGCCCTGCCTAAGAGGGTTGGAGAGGAGCGAGCGAGGCATTGGGGGAGGGAGCTCTCGGCTCTGGGGGAGGGGTTCACGTGCCCCACACTCTTTGCACACAGAGCCCACGGCCTCAGGACCTCGGCCGCTGGCCGAGCAGGCAAGGGCCCGGCACCTGGAGGCTCTACAGAGGCAGCTGCAGGTGGAGCTGAAGGTCAGGCAGGGGGCTGAGAACATGACCCACACCTACGCCAGTGGCACTCCCAAGGTAAGGCCCCCTGGGGGGAAGAGATTGTGTTCTCAGATTGTTCGAGAAGGTAATGATCCAGTGGCTAACCTGACAGGGAAATGCAGCCTAGCCATTGATCCTGTAAGGGAGACACTCTCCCCTTAGTCTGATGGGGGAGGCAGGCCCCAAATCTCAGCTTGGCTCCAATCCCTTGTCTAACAAAGAAAGCAAAACACCAGGGTGATGGGGAATCCCAGCCCAACCCCAAGTCTGATAGGGAAGTCCCAGCTCCTGTCCCAACTCCCAATATGATGTGGAAGCTCGCCTTGATCTCATAATGGAGGCTTGACCTAATCCCTTCCTTGTGTAGTCTGATGGGGGAGGCTCTGTGGCAGAGCTAGTCTAAAAAGGGAGGCTTGGAAGCTTCCTGGTTAAGACTGCACTTCTAATGCAAGGGGTGTTGAGGGTTCGATCCCTAGTCAGGGAACTAAGATGCTCACATGCCATGTGGCCTGCCCCCCCCCCCAAATAATAATAAATAAATAATTTTTAAAAATAAAATATAAAGGATATTAAAAAGCAGAGACATTACTTCGCCAACAAAGGTCCGTCTAGTCAAGGTTATGGTTTTTCCAGTAGTCATGTATGGATGTGAGAGTTGGACTATAAAGAAAGCTGAGCCCCGAAGAATTGATGCTTTTGAACTGTGGTGTCGGAGAAGACTCTTGAGCGTCCCTTGGACTATAAGGAGATCCAACCAGTCCATCCTAAAGGAAACCAAGCCTGAATATTCATTGGAAGGACTGATGCTGAAGCTGAAAGTGCAATATTTTGGCTACTTCATGTGAAGAGCTGGCTCTTTTGAAAGGACCCTGTTGCTGGGAAAGATTGAAGGCAGGAGAAGGGGACGACAGTGGATAAGATGGTTGGATGGTATCACTGACTCAATGGACATGAGTTGGAGTAAGCTTCAGGAGTTGGTGATGGACAGGGAAGCCTGGCGTGCTGCAGTCCATGGGGTCACAAAGAGTCGGACATGACTGAGCGACTGAACTGAGCTGAACTGGCTGTAGTTATCTGATCTACTGAGGGAGGCTTAGCTTCAGCCCAGACTGATGGAGGAGGCTTGGTCCAGTCCCCAGTCTGACCAGGAAGGCTCTGGCCTAGTCCTGGCCTGATGGGGTATGTGTCACAACCCTATAGGAGAGGAAGCTGCTGGCAGCCGCCCAGCAGATGCTCCAGGACAGCCAGCTGAAGGTGGCCCTGCTGCGAATGAAGATCAGTAGCCTGGAGGCCAGCGGGTCCCCCGAGCCAGGTGAGGCCTGGCCAAGGGGGCTGGGCCTGGTGGAGCAAGGCTGGGGCCTGAGGTGGCTGACCCCTCCTCCTCCCAGGTCCTGAGCTGATGGTAGAGGAACTACGGCACCGTCTACGCATCGAGGCTGCCGTGGCTGAGGGCGCCAAGAACGTGGTGAAGCTGCTTGGTAGCCGGCGAACACAGGACCGCAAGGTGCTGGCCGAGGTCAGACCGTGGTCCCCTCCCATTGCTTCCTGTCTGACTGGTACCACCCTCTGTAGTGGCCGGTGATAGCGCTCGGCAGGCCATGAGGAAACAGGAGGCACATTCTTTTTATATGTATAATTTTCTCTCTTTCTGTTCGGCTCTGCTGAGTCTTCGTTGCTGCTTGGGCCTCTCTGTAGTGGTGAGTGGGGGCTACTCTCTCGTTGCGGTGCACAGGCTCCAGGGCTCAGTAGTTGTGGCTCTCGGGCTCTAGAGCACAGGCTCCATAATTGTGGCGTGTGGCTTAGTTGCCCCAAGGCATGCGGAATCTTCCCAGACCAGGGATTGAACCCATGTCTCTTGCACTGGCAGGCAAATTCTTTACCACTCAGCCGCCAGGGAAGCCCAGAAGTCACATTCTTGTCTAGATCGGGGGTCTCCAATTTCCAGGCCACGGACCGGTACCTCCTGTCAGATCAGTGGTAGCACTAGACTAGAAGTAAAGTGCACAAAAATGTTGTTGTTTAGCCACTCAGTCCTGTCCGACCCTTTGTGACCCCATGGACTGCAGCACATCAAGCTACCCTGTCCTTCACCATCTCCCGGAGCTTGCTCAAACTCATGTCCATCGAGTTGGTGATATCATCCAACCATCTCGTCCTCTGTCATCCCCTTCTCCTCCTGCCCTTAGTCTTTCCCAGCATCAGGGTCTTTTCTAATGATTCGGCTCTTCGCATCAGGTGGCCAAAGTGTTGGAACATCAGCTTCACAAAAACATAATGCACTTGAATTGTCCTGAAACCATCCCTCCCACCTCCAGTCCGTGGAAAAATTGTCTTCCACAAAACCAGTCCCAGGTGTCAAAAAGGTTGGGGATCTCTGATCTAGACCTCATCCTGGGTGCCTCTGGGTGGCCTGAGCCGTTGCCCTCGCCATTACCCCAGGGCCCTGTATCCCCTGCCCGTATCCCTCCTGCAGGCTCAGGCCCAGCTCCAGGAGTCCTGCCAGAAACTGGACCTCCTGCGGCTGGCCTTGGAGCAGCTGCTGGAGAGACTGCCTCCTGCTCACCCTCTGCGTGGCAGAGTGGCCCGGGAGCTGCGGACTGCTGCGTCTGGAAACCCGCAGCCTTCAGGGACACTTGTGAAACCCACCGCCATGACAGGTACCCGGGAGCCCCTCCTACTTCAGAGCTGTCCTTCCCTTCCAGGGAGGAGCCTGGAACTCAGTGGTGAAGAATTTTGGAGAAGATTTTCAATCCTGGCTTCACCATCGCTTAGCTGTGTGACCTTGGGCCACTGACACCCCCTCTTCAGACCTCAGTTTATCACTCTGTCAAATGGGGGTGATAACAGCACCTACTTCATAGGGCTGGTGTGACAATTCAGTGAGTTGTTGCACATGAAGTGCTCGAATTTTTGCACCAACCCTATGAATTAGGTTCTGTTATCACCCCCATTTGACAGAGTGATAAACTGAGGTCTGGAGAAGGGGGTGTCAGTGGCCCAAGGTTACACAGCTAAGGATGGTGAAGCCAGGATTGAAAATCTTCTCCAAATTCTTCCCCATTGTGTTTCAATGAGTAACCATGAGAGTGTTAGGCTGGACGTGCCAGTGTTAGGGAGCTCACAGCCCTGAAGGCCTTGGTACCCAGTTCTGGGCAGTTTACACTATTAGAAAGTGCTTCCTTATCCTGAGTGGATCCGACACTATGGAAGCCCTGAATTTCCCAACAGGGACCCAGTGCCAACTAGAGGGCCAGCCCCTGCCTGCACAGAGCTGGTACAGAATAGATAGGCCTCATCCCATTGTGAGCAGAGCTGAAGGGGAAAAGTACAGGGACTGCATGGGCCCCCTCACCTGGCCTTGGGGAACCAAGGAATGCTTCCTGGAGGAGGAGGCATGTCCTTGATGGGCTTAAGGGAGTTGACCAAGTCAACAAGTTGGGGAAGGTGAGGGCAAGGTCTTGTTTGTTGTTCCCTCGCTAAGTCGTGTCCGAGTCTTTGCTACCGTGTGGACTGCAACACGCCAGGCCTCCCTGTCCCTCACTATTTCTCAGAGTTTCTCCAAGTTTTGTGTCTGTTGAATTGGTGATGCTATCCAGCCATATCTAGGGCTTGTTAAAAGGTCTAAAATTCAGATACTTGAAGGCACCCCATAAGCTGTCTCCCAGCTAAACACCCACATTCCTCCAGTCATTCTTTCTAGGATGACCTTCCCATCCTGGGCACTGCCTCGGTTTATAAGGTCTCTCGGAGTATAACTCCCCAGGCCCCAACTTCCTAAATGGTGCTCTTCAGCCCTATGTATGTCCTCAAGAGCTGCTAGAATCCCACTGCTTCCTCTATCCTCGGAGGGACAAATCTCTAGTGACCCTAAAAATGAGCCCACTTGGTTGGCAAAACACACTGGTACCCACCACAGGAAGTGGGGCTGAGTTAGGGCCCGGGAAGAGGTGGCCGGCCAGGCACCCTGCTCCTCTGGGGCTCTTGTCCCTGGCATGGTGCTCCCTCGGCCTGGAGCCCTGGGCAGCGAGAGGACTGAGGTCTGAGTCTGACTCCTCTGCCTCTGTGTCCCTGCTTCTTCCCACACATAGAGGGATGGCAGGAGGAGAGGACCAGTTGGTTGGCCCCCAGGGTGGCAGGTGGCTGCCAAGGTGTAAGGTGAGCAGGCTCTGGGTTTGCTACCTCCATGAGAAGGCAGCATTCCTGGGGTCTCAGGGACCCCTTGGAGGATGGCATCTGATGATGGCCCCTCACCATGCTCCCCGACAGGGACACTGCAGGTCCGCCTCCTGGGCTGTGAGCAGCTGCTGACAGCGGTGCCTGGACGTTCCCCTGCGGCCGCGCTGGCCGGGAGCCCCTCCCAGGGCTGGCTTCGGAGCAGAGCCAAGCAGCAGCGTGGGGGAGGCGAGCTGGCCAGTGAGTAGGGGGCCCGGGGAGCTGGGGAGCGCAAAGGTTCCCCCCTCTACTCCTGGCCTGCCCTGAGCCCCGACTCTGGCCTTGCAGGTGAGGTGCTGGCCGTGCTGAAGGTGGACAATCGCGCTGTGGGCCAGACGGGCTGGGGGCCTGTGGCCAAGCAGTCCTGGGACCAGACCTTTGTCATCGCCCTGGAGCGGGTGAGGCTGCCCTTGTGTGGACCGGGGTGATCGCAGGTCGTGGGGTGGAAGGCTGGATGGCTAGTGGCTGGTGCCAGGCTCACCCCCACTCAACCTGACCTCCCCGTGTAGGCCCGAGAGCTGGAGATCGGGGTCCACTGGCGGGACTGGAGGCAGCTGTGTGGCGTGGCCTTCCTGAGGCTGGAGGACTTCCTGGACAATGCCTGTCACCAGCTGTCCCTCAGCCTGGTGCCACAGGGACTGCTCTTCGCCCAGGTGCCCCCCCCCCCCCCCCCCCGGCCCCTGCCATTTGACCTCATGGGCCCCTGGCTCTGTTAACGTGAGAGGGGCCTTGGAGATTGTGCCCCGCCCTGCCCCCAACCCACAGTGAGGAGTGGAAACAGGCCCCAAGAGAGGAGCTCTCCAGGGATGAAAGATTCCCAGCCACTCTCTGAGGACTTCACAGGAGAGGAATAGCCTGCATCCTTGTCCTGACTGCCCTGCCGCGTGTGCGACCCTGGACAAGTCCCTTTCTCCTCCAGGCCTCAGTTTCTCCCCTGGTACCAGTGAGGATGCCGAATCCATTCTCTCTGGGTCCCTGTAGCTCTTGCATCTGTTGCCAACGGGCTCAGGCTGGAATTCTGGAGGCCGAGGAGGTGCCTGTGGCAGGTGGGAGGGGACTGGTCTTCAGCCCTGCCCCCTGCCCCCACAGGTGACCTTCTGTGACCCTGTCATTGAGAGGAGGCCCCGACTGCAGAGGCAGAAACGCATTTTCTCAAAACGCAGAGGTATGGAAGGCTGGCGAGCAGGGAGCAGCGTTGGGCCCCTCCAGAGACCTCGAGACTGAGCCTGCTTTTGCCCCAGGTCAGGACTTCCTGAGGGCTTCCCAGATGAATCTCAGCATGGCGGCCTGGGGACGCTTGGTCATGAGCCTGCTGCCCCCATGCAGCTCCCCAAGTACCATCAGCCCCCCCAAAGCGTGCTCCCAGACTCCAGCCACACCCCAGCGGGCCACCGACCCCGACTCGCCCAGGTGAGGAGCCTCGCTCACCCCAGGCTGCCTGCTTCTCTGCAGTGTCACCTCTCTCCAGACGCAGGTGGTGCCTACCCCGTGGCTCGCCCTCTGACCTGTCTGTCTGTCTCGCGTGGCTGTGTGTCCACCCCCGCCCTCCCTGCCCGCTGCTCTTCCAACTGTCTGTGCCCAGTATGTGTCTGCTTCTACCCCACAGTAACTTCCCACCCAAGAAAACCCCCTTGCGAGAAGAGATCCAACCCCTACCCAAGCCCCCTCGCCTCTACCTGGCCCAGGAGCCAACCCCTGAAGAGATGCCGGTGAGGGGCAGCAGGGCAGGGTTGGTCACCCTGGGGGCTGCCCAGGTCGGGTGGCAGGGCTGGAGGGAAGGAAGCCCTGCTCTGCCTTGAGACCCTCTCCCCTCGCAGCGCACCAAACGTCCCCACATGGAGCCCAGGATTCGACTCGAGCCGCCTCTGCCAGCCCCGGCTACCAGGTATCCTGGCAGGCTCACCTCGGTGTTTGAGGCTTTTATCCACTCATCTGGGTATTTGCATGTCAGACGTTGACACCTCACCCGGGCTCCTTGGCTCGCTCAGGTTCTCACTCGTTGAACCCACATTATTGAGCTCGGCCTGCTTGCCAGGCCCCAAGACACTGCAGTCCTGGGAACCCAATAGAGGGGGACCACCCAGGATCGAGCACGGGGCGTTTGGGGCAACTCCTAGTGGAGGCCCAGCCCTTCCTTGTGCTGGGGGCTTCCTGTGCCCTTTCTCTTGCAGGAAACCCCCCCGGCTTCAGGACTTCCGCTGCTTGGCCGTGCTGGGCCGGGGCCACTTCGGGAAGGTAGGGGCTGAGGAGGTGCGGCGGAAGGGGGTGGGCAGGCCCCAGCACGTTAGCTAGGGGGCTCTGGACTCGGGGGCAGTGGGCAGGGGAAGTAGATTCCTGTACTGCCCACCTGTACCCCAAACCTCTCTCTGGTCTTCAGGTCCTCTTGGTTCAATTCAAGGGCACGGGGCAATACTATGCCATCAAAGCGCTGAAGAAGCAGGAGGTGCTGAGCCGGGACGAGATTGAGAGGTGTGTGTGGAGGTCGGGGGGCTCCCAGCACCCTGGCGTCTGGAGGGAACTCAGGACGGCAGGCCTGGGCTGGGCTGGTGGCTCCAGAAGGCAGCTGAATACTTCTGGGGGTTCGAAGAAGTGACCCTGTGGGGGCAGCCAGGTCTGGGCTCTCTTATTAGCAACTGCAGTTGTGAACTGTGTGCCCTTGGGCAGGTCTCTGTCTGGGCACCTCAGGTTCCTCATCTGTGAAATGGGAACAGGGTGGCGGTACAAGTTCAAGACCTGTGCGAGTCCCGGATACATATGAACTGTCACTGTACCTGCCTGGCAGTTTTAAGAGCCAGTAACCCAGGGGAGTTGTGTGGGTGACAAGGCACAGCCAGTGGAGGTCTTCCTTCCCTTTTGGGTTCCCTCCTTGCCTGTGAAACCCATGCCCTCCTCTTGCAGCCTGTACTGTGAGAAGCGAATCCTTGAGGCCGTGGGCTGCACAGGGCATCCGTTCCTGCTTCCCCTCCTTGCCTGCTTCCAGACCTCCAGCCATGCCTGCTTCGTGACTGAGTTCGCGCCTGGCGGTGACCTCATGATGCAGATCCATGAGGACGTCTTTCCTGAGCCCCAGGCCCGGTGGGTCCCCCTCTCGCCTCTTCCAGCCAGCCTTCCCTGGGCCCCCTGTCCCTGGCAGTCCCTTCATCCTGCTTCTTCCATGGTGCCCATCAGCCAAAGAGTGCATACAATCAGTGAGGGCTCAGTTCACATCCTGGTTATCAAACCCTCACAGCCTTTGTGACCTCAGACCTCAGTGTATATGGCGGTGAATTGGGGATAATAACTGCTTCATAGGCTTGGTGCATCGGTGGACATAACACTTAGAAATTGCAGAGCCTAGGGACTGGTGAGCAGTAAGTGACTGACAGATGGCATTCTTATGTCTTGCCCACCAGAGTGTGGACTCTGGAGCCCAGATTCACGTGTCAGCTCTGCCAGTCGCTCTGTGACCCAGGGTGGGTCATTTACCAGGAGTCTCAGATCCTCATTTAAAAAAAATAGGCATGATGAGGCTTCTCTGGGTGGTCTAATGCTTAAGAATCCGCCTGCGAGTGCAGGGGACACAGGTTCGATTCCTGGTCCAGGAAGATCTCACATGTCTCGGAGCAACTACTGAGCCCAAGGGCTGCAACTACTGAAGCCCACACACCTCGAGCCCATGTTCTGTAGCTAAACCTGTGAAACAGTCATCATTACCCCCAGTTCACTGCAGTGAGAAACCCATGCACCACAATGAAGAGTAGCTCCTGCTCACCGCAACTAGAGAAAGCCCATGCACAGCAATGAAGACCCAGTGCAGAAAAAAAAAAAAAATAACATTTTTTAAAAATTAAAAAAACAATAGGCATGATGGTACCAACGGAGGCTGCCAGGAGGATGCCAGGATGGGCATGTGGACACTTGGTGTCATTCCTGGAATAATCTAAGGGTCCGGGAACTGTAGGCTGTTATCAGGAGGAGCCCTGCCCCTGACTCTGGCAGGGACATTGGGGGTTCCCAGGCCATGGCCATCCTGGTGCCTCCCTGCCCTGTCCCCCACAGTCCTGGGCCTGAACTCCCCCTGCACCAACCCTCCAGGTTCTATCTGGCCTGTGTGGTCCTGGGGCTGCAGTTCTTACACGAGCAGAAGATCATTTACAGGTAACTGGCCCCCAGGATGCTGGAGGAGTAGGCAAGGGGGTCAGGGGCTGCCCTCCTCCTGGGCTGCTATGAGGCGGGGCCGCTGTTCCCTGGGCCTCAACACGTCTCAGCTTCTTTGGGGTCTGCCCTGCCTTGCCCTCAGAGACCTTAAGTTGGATAATCTTCTCCTGGACGCCCAGGGTTTCCTGAAGATCGCGGACTTTGGGCTTTGTAAGGAAGGTGGGTGCCTCCCATCCAGGAGCCTGTGTCCTCCTGCCTTGCTCGTTCTGTCGAGGCCAGCAGGGTGGCGAGAAAGTGGCATCTTCCAGGAAATGTCCCTCCCAGCCCTCCTTCCAGGGACCAGCTAGACGCATTGGTTCGTCCTTCCTCGCCTTAAAAACTCAGAAAGACTCCCTTGCCCTCGGCCGGAGGGAGAGCCTGGCCTGGGAGAGGGTGCTGGGTTCTGCTTTCTGCATGACCCTGGCACACAGGCTTCGCTGAGACACATTCCTCATCCGTCAGGTGGCATGAAAACCGTTCCCACCTCCAAGGGTGTGGGGCAGGGCTCTGCGTGGGTTCCTTGCATGGAGTCCTAAGGGTTGGTGGTTGATTCTTACAACCAGAGGTTCTTGTGGCTGCCACAGCACGCTGACATCAGTGTGGATGTTGGTTGGCAGGGATCGGCTTTGGGGACCGGACGAGCACCTTCTGCGGCACCCCGGAGTTCCTGGCCCCCGAGGTGCTGACTCAGGAGGCCTACACGCGGGCTGTGGACTGGTGGGGGCTGGGCGTGCTGCTCTATGAGATGCTGGTGGGCGAGGTGAGTGCTGGATGGGGAGAGCTGCTGGGGCCCCCAGGTTGGGTGGAGGTTGAGTGGGGGGCGTCCCTGCTGAGTCCCCTCCCTGCAGTGCCCGTTTCCAGGGGACACCGAGGAGGAGGTGTTTGACTGCATCGTCAATGCAGAAGCCCCATACCCCCGCTTTCTGTCGGTGCAAGGCCTCGAGCTTATTCAGAAGGTAATTGCTGCAGGGTCCTGGGCTGGGCCAGAGGGCTACTTGTGGCTCTCCAGGCTCCCTACCCGAGAGGCTGGGGGCAGCAGGGCAGTGTCGGGCTGAGCACCCTGAATGAGCCCTGTCCTCGCCCCCAGCTCCTCCAGAAATGCCCCGAGAAGCGCCTGGGGGCGGGCGAGCGAGATGCTGAGGAAATCAAGACCCAGCCTTTCTTCAGGGTGAGCGGCCGTGGCCACAGCGGTCCTGGTGCCTGGCGCAGAGGGAGGGGTCGAGGGCCCACGGGGGCTGCTGTTCCCATCATCTGATGTACGCCTTTGCCCCCAGACCACCGACTGGCAGGCTCTGCTCGCCCGCGCCGTCCAGCCCCCCTTTGTGCCCACCCTCTGTGGCCCCACAGACCTGCGCTACTTCGAGGGGGAGTTCACAGGGCTGCCGCCCGCCCTGACCCCACCCGACCCCCGCAGCCCCCTCACCGCCCGCCAGCAGGCTGCCTTCCGCGACTTCGACTTCGTGTCTGAGAGATTCCTGGAGCCCTGAGGGCCTCCCGGCCTCTCCACCCCCTGCCCGCTCCCCCACGCCGGACGGTTAGAGCCTCTGCTTTGCCTGCCTGTCTGCCCACCGGGGCACGCAGGGATTTATGGGCCTTTGGGGCTGGAGGTGGCAGCCATGGGGCTGTCGTGGGCACTGCTCAGTCACCGGGCGAGTGCTGCCTGCCCCCTTCCCCCGACCTCTCCCCTGCCCGCTGTGAGACCTAGACCAGAAAGCGTGGCGCAGCGAGGAATGGTTTGGGTTTTTTTAATACTTGACTTGCTTTATGGTTCATTAAATTTATAAAACTGTGTGCTGGATGCAGCCTGGCTTGGGGGTGGGGCCGGGGTGTCCGAAGCCCAGGTCTCTCCTTGTGCCTGAGACTCCCCCACGGGTCCTCGTCCTTTTCTTCTGCCTGGGGAGGGCGGAGCTGCCCACCAAGGCAGGGCACAGCCCCTCAGCTCCACTCTGAGGCCTGGAAAGAGTGGGCAGGAGTGAGGAGCCCCAGGCCCTTGGAGGGCCGACCCCTCTGGGTGCGGCCTGTCTGGTTTTCAGGCACAAGATGGTGGCCCTGGCTTCCAGTGACCCTAAACAGCTTGGCTACTGCCTTCCTCCTCCTCGTCCTCGGCCCAGAGGGTCTCCCAGGAGCCCGGGGGCCATCCACAGAAGAAGTGGGCCAGGTTGCGGGTCAGGCCGCGGTCGAAGGGGTTTCCGGGGCGCTGGCGGAGGTAGGCGATGCGGTGGGAGGAGATGAACTCCCAGGTGGTGGTGTTGCTGGCCACCAGGTAGAGGTGCGAGGCCAGGAGCAGGCCAGCCACCAGGGAGAAGAGCGACAGCAGCAGGAAGGTGGCGAACAGGAGCCCGCTGGACCGCAGCCAGAGCCCCCAGGGCTGGAAGAAGTGGAGGCCGGACCTGCAAGGGAAGGAGAGTGACAAGGACCCAGGGCTGGCGGCGGGGTCGCCCGAGGGGACGGCCATTTGGGAGAGGGTCCAAGGCCCCTGAAGAGGGAGCCTGGGGGTGCTGGTCCTCCCCCACACCCAGGGCAACTCACCATGCCAGGTACAGGGCCCACAGAAGCACCACCAGCTGCAGCGCCAGATAGGCCACGAAGAGCGGGTGGTTGCGCTCGCCCACACAGTTCTCCATCCAGGGGCAGTGGTGGTCGTAGCGGCGGACACAGCGACGGCACTCACGGCAGTGCCGAGCCCGCAGGGGTTGCTGTGGGCACAGAGGGAGTTGGGCCTCAACACCGGCTCCCCTCTAGGCCCAGTAATGAGGGTGGGAGGTCAGCGCTGGCATCTGGGAGGCTTTCCTGGAGGAAGGGGGTGAGGCCAAGAAGTCTTGGCCTTGCCTGAGTCCTCCCACGGAGGTCCCCACATCACCCACCAGCACCATGCAGTATCCGCAGCGCCGAAGGGGGATGGCCTGAGGAACCATGGCTGTCTGCTCTTCCTTGGCCTCCTCCTGAAAAAGGGGGGGACAGAGGATGAGATGGGGGTCCCTTGGGAGGCAGCTGAGACTTGTGTGTGTCTCCCTTGGGGGCCAGCTTAGCTCTGGGTGTGCACATTTGGGGGCCCATCCATGTGTCATGGAGGTGGCAGAGTGGGGCAGGGTGCCCTGGACTGCGAGGTTGTGTGACTTTGGCCAGTTACTTCCCCTCTCTGGACCTTGGCCATTTTCTCGTTGTAGGACGGGGCCCTAGGTCTGACAAGATGATTCCTTGGGATTCCCTAGGAAAGCTCTCAGCTGAGTCTAGCATGAGGCTCACTGGAATCTTGAGTTCCCTGGTGGAGGGAGGAGGGGTTTGGGCCCCCCAGTTACCTGGGGCTGAGGCAGGACATTCACGTAGCCCGGGTCCATGAGTGACACGGTCAGGTAAAGCAGCAGGGAGCCCAGCACGAGCAGCAGGAAGGTGAGGGGCAGGAGCAGGTCCCCCTGCTCTTCCCACTGCCGCAGTGCTGGAGAGGCCAGAGAGGGAGAGTGAGGCCGGGACCGTGGGCCGGGCGTGGCGGGGGAGCGCGCAGCTGGGGGCGGGGCGTGTGTCCCTGGATGGACAAAGGCCTGGAAGTGGGGCTGAATGAATGGTGTGGCCACTACACAGGGTGCAGCAGGGAGAAGTTCAGGCTTGGGAGGAGAGGAAAAAAGCAGTTAATCTACACTATCTCTGGAGGGCAGTAGGGAACCATGGAAGGTTACCGGGTCAGATATATTTCTGAATGGCTTCCCAGGTGGCACTAAAAATAAGGAACCCTCCTGCCAATGCAGGAGACATAAGAGATGCAGGTTCCATCCCTGGTTCGGGAAGATCCCCTGGAGGAGGGAATGGCAATCCACTCCAGTATTCTTGCCTGGAGAATCCCATGAACAGAGGAGCCTGGTGGGTTACAGCCCATAGGGTTGCACAGATATGACTGAAGCGACTTAACATGCATGTTTCTGAAAGCCCTCTTAGTGCTAAGGTAAAGATGGATCAGAGGGGAGGCCTATTCAGGACACAGAGAGGAGTGTGTCTGGGCAAGGGTAATGGCAGGGGGGTTGACCAGATTGGAGGTAAGGGGTGATGGGACCAGACTTGGCTGGATATGGGGAACAGGGAGGAGGACTCTGGCTCTGAGATGGAAAGAGGCTGGCCAGGTAAGAGATGCACAAGAAACAGAGATAGAGAAGGGCGTGGCTGTCAGGTTGGAATGCTGTAGGGGAGCCCAGGCCACTGCCAGGGTCCAGCCCATGGAGGTGACTGAAGGTTTGGGGGAAGGGGGTGGAGAGCTGAGCAGGGAGAGGCAGGAGACAGCCAGCCAGACATCAGAGTGTGGACAACTCAGGTGCCCCTTGACTATAAAAGGGAGTGGAGAAGAAAAGGAGTTTGCAGTGGGGGATTTCTTTCCAATGCGGAGACTGAGCAGGTTTTTAGGCTAAGGGGTGAAGCCAGTGGAGGAGACTCAAATCTTGGGAGGAAAGTGAGAATGCCCCTGGTCCAGAAGCTTAGGCTGCAGCGAGGAGGAAGGGGTGGGGGTTGTGGTGGTGGTGGTGAGGAAGGGGGAAAGCCTGTGTTGGAGGTGGCCTGTGGCAGGTAAAGAGGGGGAAGGATGGAAGTGGGTGGGTGGAATGAATGAGCGCTCACGGGGATGAGAACAGGAGGGACAGGCTGCTCCCCTCTGCCGTGTCCTCTTGCCTGAAGGTGGGGAGCCCGGACTTGGGGCAGCTAGGGCCACGCAGGGATGGGGTGGGCGGGATGCCAGCCCTTCATCTAGTTGATCCTCGGAATCTTGGGAGTCAATTCCTGGGAAGGGTCAGGCGGGTCCCAGGATCAGGGAAGATGGGGTCTCGAGCGGGTCGTCGGATCAGGTGGGCACCGGGTGGGTCCTGGGACAGACAAGGGTATCTGGCAGGGATCAGGAAGAGTCTGGGATTAATTAGGGATCAACTGGGTATTAGGCGGAAAGCAGGTGGCTCTTGGAATGAGAGGTGGGGAGGGGGCCTCTGGCGCGGGAAGAGTCCGGGGGAAATCCCAGGATCTCCGGGGGGTTCGACTAGGGACTCAGTGAGACCCAAACATCTGGGGAATCACGCGGGATCGGGTGGGTCCGGGGTCGCGAGGGTTCCGGCTCACCGGTATCATGCAGGAAGAGTACCAACGTGATCCCCCAGGTCAGCACTGTATGCCCGGTCCGCACCAGGACCCCAGGGGTGAAGAGCGCCCAGGGCGCCATCGCCTCGGCCCCGGGCCCCACCCGGAAGAAGCGCTCAGAGGGGCGGGCCCTCCGAGGAACAGGGCCCGCGGCCGCCCGGGGATTGGCGGATGCGGGCTGTGGGCGTGGCCGGATTGGGCCAGGGAGGCCGCCTATTGGGCGACAGCTGCGGTTTAGTAGGCCCTCGAGCCAACAGGTGCCTGAAGAAGCTGAGGGCGGGGCCGGCGCGCGCGCAGCCGGTAACTCCCCCAGCTCCACCCCCCACTCCCCCAACCCCAGCATCCAGGTAACTTTCAAAAACCGACCTCCCGTCGCGAGTCCCGCTCCAGTCCCGCTGAAGTTCCACCACCCGCCCCCAGGCCACAGATTCACGCATGCGTCCAGGAAGATCCAGGTGTTGTGACTCAAGGTGGCAGAATTGCGCCCGGTTCGGAGATGAGATGCTCGAAGCCTCAAGAGAGGCAGGACTAAACCAAAGTGACTTCAGGGTAATAACATTACCATTTTCAGATTTTGCAGACGGGATGAGACCAGAGTGGAAGTACGTGGTAGCAGATTCTGACTATGAGAGGCCTGACTGGGTCAGAGCCGGAAATCCCAGTACTGCCCCTTCCTACCTGTGTTCACTTGGGCAAGTTACAAAACCACGCGGAGTTCTGTTTCTGTCTGTATGATGGAGATGATAATAGTACCCCTCCTCAGGTGGTTGGAGGACTAAATATTGGAAATAGTGCCTAGTACAGGACTGACTTGTCGCCTCAGCTCTAAACCAGCACCTACACCCAATGACTTGCCCAACCTAGGGTTTCAGGCTAATCTACCATAAAGCCTAGTCATTCACTGCTTAAATTCCTTTACTGTGTTCCTAGGGCCTTCCCCATCCAGCCCTGCCTTTCCTCCTTTTTCTCCCACGGATACCAACATCGACCTTCCTCCATCAGATCAGTGCCCTACTGACTCCGCAGTATACTCTTAAGACATTTGTTGTTTTTGTCAGCTCAGCATCCCCTTTTCTGTTGGAGAACTGACTCCATCCTGTGTGGATCTGGAAGAACTATGTCCCTCACTTTATAGGGTGGTGGGAGAGAGACCCTGGGCTTGTGACTAGAAGGCAAACATGGTCCTCATCTCATTATTCCCAGTGATTGGATCTAAGTGGTGGGCATGTGACTTGGCAGGGTCAATTAGAATAATTCCATGAGAGTATGCTATAGATGCTGAGAGAGAAAGGGGTATTCTTTTGGATCTCAAGCATGAGGAATAGGATATAATGGCAATTGGCAGCCGGTTTTATGCTATGTGGTGAGAGACTCTGGCAGAAGAGGAGGCCAACTATAAAGAGATGTAGAGATAACCAGCACTGAAATAGGGAGTGAGAAAGTCTTTTTTTTAAAGATATTTATTTATTTGGGTGTGCCGGGTCTTAGTTGTGGCATGCAGGATCTTTAGTTGCAGCATGAGACATTTTTAGTTGCAACATGTGAACTCTTAGTTGCGGCATGTGGGGTCTAGTTCCCTGACCCCATGTGGGATCTTCTCAGACCAGGGGTCAAACCAATATCCCCTGTATTGGCCAGGGATTGAGCTCAGGCCCCCTTCACTGGTAGTGCAGAATCTTAGCCACTCGACCACCAGGGAAGTCTGGAGAGATGGTCTTAAAAACATGATCTGAGCCCCTAGATCCAACTGTTACTAAGGCTGATCTTAACACTAGATTCCCAGTTGCATTAATGAATGAAATTCCTCCTACAGATACACTACTTAGGTAAGTGTTTGAGTGTCTGTCACTTGTAGCTCTGTCTTAATTACTGCAATGGTTGCATGGCTTAGTGTGCCAAGTGGGGACATCTACTAATTGTGGGACTTCCCTGGTGGCTCAGTGCTAAAGAATCTGCCTGCCAGTGCAGGGGGACACTGGTTTGATCCCTGGTCCAAGAAGATCCCACATGCCTTGAAGCAGCTGAGCCCGTGAGACATAACTACTGAGCCTGTGCTCTAGAGCCTGAGACCCACAACTACTGAGCCCACATGTTGCAATTACTGAAGCCTGCATGCCACAGAGCCATGCTCCAAAGTGAAAAGCCTGCACATGGCAACAAAGAGTAGCCCCCACTCACCGCAGTGAGAAAGAGGAAACCCATGCACAGCAATGAAGATCCAGCACAAACAAAAATAATTTTATTTATTTTTTATTTTTTTTAATAAATTTTAAAAAAGAAAGAATCCTGAGGATTCCACGAGTCAGCCGCTATGCTAGTGTCAAAGATTAAAATAAGGTTGGACATTAGTTAAAGTTGTAAGGACATATTTTACTCAGTAATATACTATTGTGGTAGGGAACAGGATCCAAAAAGAACTGAATGTAACTTTGATTTGTACAGAGGTGATTGGGTATTTTAAAGGGAGAATGAGGGAGTAGAGATGGGGAAGGGCAGGGGCTTGATGAGACTCAGGGAAGTGAAGACTTGCAAAGAGCGGGTTAGGGTAAATGCTCATTAAGCCAACTGTGTCTGCTAGCTGGCAGCAAATGAGGTTAGGCTGCTGCCCTCCCTCGGAGACTGGGAGACAGAGGCCTGATCCTTCCTGATGATTACATTTTACCGGGATGGCTTCCAGGTCCTTGAGAAAGATGCTGCTGAGTTATAGGAGGTACAGATATACCTGAGGGGGACAGAGAAAGCATTCACAACTTGAAGTTGTTTTTAGTAAATGCTCTAAGAAAGGCTATTCAGGTGTTAAAGAGCAAATTCTTTTTTTTTTTTTAATATTTGGCTATGCTGGGTCTTGGTTGCTGCATGGACTTTTCTCTAGTTGTGGTAAGCAGAGGCTATTCTCTCTAGCTGCGGTGGCGTCTCTTGTTGCAGAGCACAGGCTCTGGAGCGTGGACTTCGGTAATTGCAGCACCTGGGCCCAATAGCCGCGGCTCCTGGGCCCTAAAGCACAGGCTCAGTAGTTGTGTGGGCTTAGTTGCTCCGTGGCACATGGGATCTTCCTGGATCAGGGATCGATCCTGTGTCTTCTGCATTGGCGACGGGTGGATTCTTTACCACTGAATCACAGGAGAAGACCCAAACAGTAAATTCTTTTGGCAGCCTGGAGGTTTCTCAGGCAGGTGCTTTAAGTGGGGGTGTTGGGTAGAGTCATCTTCCAAGTGTGACCCAGGGCTCTTAGAAACTGTAGGAGTGAAGTCAGAGGAGGGAGTGGATGAAATCCCTGGAGCTGAAGACTTTGTAGTTTTCATAGGCCGAGCCTGAGGCCTGGTGGAGAAGAGGGCATGGAGCTGGCTCCAGTCTGGTCTAGCAGAGAATCTCTCACTGGGCGCTGGCACGTGTGGGAACAGGTCCTCCTGATCTGGGACCAGCACCTGGACTGTTCTTGGGGAAGAGCTCTCCACCGTTGGGTGCGGCCTCAGTACTACCTCGGGGGCATGGAGAGCACTGCTGAGAGTTACTCTGGGACAAACAGCTGGTGTCAACACGGACTCTGCTGGGTAAAGCCCAGTCACCTCGCGGTTTGGCCCCGGCGCCCCTGATCCTTCCCTCTGCGGCAGCCACGGGAGCCGCTTCACGGTTCTCCCTGAAAGGCCCTTCTCCTGGCAGAGGCCCTCTGTCTAGGACTCCCCTTTCCCTGGCTGTCTACAGCCAGGCCTGGCAGCCTTGTCTTCTTGCTGGATTCAGCTCGAAGGTCTCCCTTGTGAGAAGCCTCCCCTGCCCGCACCAGGACACTGTCCTTGCTTGCAGTCCTGCTGGCCCGCCCGAGGGGCCTGCTCTGTGTGTTCCCTTCTCCCCGCTCCTCACACACCGTCATCATCTCGTATGTAACATTTGTCTCTACCATCAGACAGTTGCAGGCAGGGACCCTGTTGCTCTGTGGCCAGCCAGATCCTCAGTGTCTGGGCACAGGGGTGTGGAGAGACTGCAGAGGAAAAGCAGGTGTTCCAGTCCCATCTGCCACTGCTGAAGAATGGATGCTTTTGGACTGCGGTTGGGAGGACTCTTGAGAGCCCCTCAGACTGCAAGGAGATCAAACCAGTCCATCCTAAAGGAAATCGGTCCTGAATATTCATTGGAAGGACTAATGCTGAAGCTGAAACTCCAATACTTTGGCTGCCTCATGCAAAGAACTGACTCATTGGAAAAGACCCTGATGCTGGGAAAGATTGAAGGTGGGAGGAGAAGGGCACGACAGAGGATGAGATGGTTGGATGACATCACCAACTCAATGGACATGAGTTTGAGTAAACTCCGGGTGTTGGTGATGGACAGGGAGGCCTGGCATGCTGCAGTCCACGGGGTTGCAAAGAGTCAGACATGACTGAGCAACTCAACAGACCAAACTGCCACCTCTCCCCTTGGGCCGGGCCCACAGACTGACCCAATGCACCCTCCCGTCACTGCTCTTGCACTCCAGGCACACCACCCAAGCCAGCCCAGGCCCCCTCTCCATGGCCCCATCCCTTCCACAAAAAAAAAGACACTCTGCTCTTTTCCACTTTGCACAAAAATGTATTTCTGTGACATCCCAAAGTACAGACATTTACCCGGGCCCCGGCTGGTAAAGCGATGCGATGTGAGCTCTGCCTGGGGTCTGGCGCAGGCCATGTGAGCATGGAAGCGGGGGGCAGATGGGGCCCGTGTGCTGAGCAGAGGGGCCACAGGGCAGCTGGCCTTTCCCAGGGCTGGGGTGTGGGGGGAAGACCCCAGGGGAAGAAGGCCGGGTGCCTCTCCCCTGGGCTGCTCATCCTGCCTGTTCTGTCTGGAGGCAGGAATGCCAGGAGAATCGGAAGCACAGGCCCAGCGAAGGAGGGACGAGAAGCCACCCTCTAAAGGCTGCCTGCAGTCAGCTCTGCTTCCCAGCCCCTTGTTCCAGACGGGGCCTCCTCCCTGCTGTCGGTGCCGTGAGAAGCAACTCGAAGTGACGTTAAGGGAGGACCAGAAGGTATTTTTGAGATACATCTGTGTGTCTCACACACTTCTCGGAAACCCAGCGAGGAGGTTTCCAAGGGGAAGCCTGGGGGCAAGGCGGGAGGGGAGGATGCTGGTCTGGAGGTGTCTGCCTGTGGCCGCCAGGGAAGGCTGGCGTGGGGATCCCCCCCTGCCCGCGGAAGAGGTGTGGGCTCCTCTGGGCCATGGGGCAGGCAGGGGTAGGTGAGGCAGGCTCAGTTCTGCTGGTGGGGTGCTTGGGCACCGTGGGGGCTGCAGGCTGATGAGGGGTGGGGGAGTGAGAGAACCACCCTGGCCCCGGGAGGTGTTGGCTTCCAGGGTGGGAAGCAGGTGGTGGGATGCGCAGGTTCCGGGTATGTTTGGCAGAAGGGGCAGCGGAGGCTGCCCGGGTTCTGACCAGCCCTGGGCTGGGGCCTTCCACAGCCTGGGGCCTGGTGGGAGACTAGGACGCAGCCTCCATAGCAGCGTGGCCTCAGGCAGGCCTGTCCAGAGGGCAGCAGAGCCACTGGGCGCCTTGAGGGCCCTCTGGGGCTGGGACTGCCTGGACCGAGGCAGGTACGGCTCACTTCCTCACCCCAGAGGCCCACAGCCGGGAGCACCAAGGCATTGGGGAAACCCAGTGGGGTTAGTTTTTAATCCCCAAACCCCATCAGCTGCACCGAGGAACCTAGATAGCATTCTCGGGCTTCAGTGGGCGGGTTAGGAGGCTGGAGTGGGCTCTTGGGGGCCCCACTGCCTCTCCGAACAGGAAGCGAGGCCAGCGTCGGAGATTACAGGGCACCGGCCGGACACTCACACTGTTAGAGGCATTTAGTCTGGCAGGGGTGGGAGTGAGTGTGGCAGCGATGAAGGCTTTGAAAGTAGGGACTTGAGGATGGCCAGGGAAGCTGCAAGGACTCAGGGGGTTATTTCTTTTGTTTTTGTACAGAAATCATACACACAAAACTTCACACTTCCTAACCAAAAAAAAAATAATATATATATATATATATAATATATATATCTCACTAATGTTAAGGAAAAGCGTCGGTTGTGCAAAAGTTCCCCTGTGTCCCTTCGTCCAGTGGGAGGCTCCCCGGGGCATGGGGATCTGCCAGCTGGGCTGCTTGAGCGCGCTTCCTCCCGGCCTCGTGGTCCAGAGCAGTGGTGGGCCGTGGAGGCAGAGGCCTTATCTGGACGTGTCCATGTTCTCCTCTTTAAAGTTACTGCAGTGCTCAATAACCTTGCTGGAGACAATGGGGGAAAGAAGATTGGAGGGTGGGCTTTCACTGGGGTGGGCTCAGCCCCTCCCAGCTAATCAGGCTGCTGGATTTGTTGGCAAATGTTAACCATCATGCTGACCCTGAATGAGATGATGTGTGCCAAGTGGCTGGCAGAGTGGCCGGCATGTGCAGGGTACCCAGGAAATGGTACTTGTGGCCATGAATACCTTTAGCCCCCTGTCCTCCCCAGGCCTCCCCTTCCCATGTCTCAGCACTGAGGCATCTGTGGTTAGGGGCTTCCCTGAATCATCTTAGGCCTGACCCCCAAAACCTTCTGATCTTTTTCAGCAACATCATCCTTCACTTTTTCTTTGTCCACCCAGGCCTTTTTCTTCCCCCGAGTCTACTGGTGGTCCCCAAACTCATTGCACATGAGGTTCCCCCAGAGATCCTGACCCAGCAGGATCTGGGCAGGTCTGGGTAGGGCGGCTGTGCCTGCCCACGGACAGGGGCTCCACACCCTGAGGGGCAGGTCCCAGCACGTCCTCAGTCGACAGTCTCTCCCACTCTCTCTGGCCCTTGGGAACTGCTGTCAGGTGTCATCCTGAACCCTGGACAGCATTCCCATTCACACCAAGCCTCTGGGCTGGTGGTGGGAGTGGTGTTCACTGCAGCCTCTTTGTGCCAAAGAGGCGCACACTGCCTTTCAGGAGTTAAGGGATGCCTGGGTGGGACAGGACTTGTGGACTTCTCCTAAGCACCCTGCCCTCAGGCTGGCCAGCTCAGGGACACAGCTAGGTCCTACAGAGATTTCAAAGTGATTGGGGTAGGTTATGGGTCAGTCTTAGCCAGTGCTTCTCAAGTCTCCTGGAAGCTCTGTTGACAATGCATATTCCCAGGCCCACTGCCCAGACCCATTGGAAAAGAAAATCTAGGGTAGGGCCTGCACATTTTTAACAATCTTTTTAGGTGGTCCTTTGGGGAGATTAAGTTGGAGAACCACTCATTTTACCATTCTCAAACTCAGACAAATCTGTCAATTAAATGTTTAAAGTAGTGCCTTTTGCCAAAAATAACTGCAGAAACAGCCAGTGGGTCCTTCTCTGGGGAGACTCTGAACTCCAAGGGCCCCTCCACCCCACCCCACCCCACCCCACCCCACCCCACCAGGACACTTTCTATTCTACACTGTCTTTAGAACCCGTCCCCTTCTAGAAACGGATCCCGGAGGAAGCACGGTCGCTGCTGATGATCGCGACACGCAGCGCCCCTAAGGGTCTTCCTTGTGCACTGATGGGTGTGAGATTCCGGGAGATGATATTTTAGACCCGGAAGTGAAAACCACAGAGCAGCGGAAGGCCTGTGTCCAGGACCTTCACGTTCAGAAACTCATGCATTCTGCCCAATCTTAGAATGTATTTTACCACACTGTGTCCTTTCTTTAGTTGGAGTGTCTTTGGCCAAAAATAAGGACAAATTCTGTTCTGACTTGCTAATGCCCAGGGATGAGAGGACGGGATTTGCTGGGAATAAAGTAAAACAAAACTTACAAATGAGGGCAAGGATGCTCTGCTCAGAGCTGGACCGTCTAGTTCCCAACCACGCAGTGGCCATCACGACACTCAGGGAGGCCCCAGCTGGACATCAGTATGCTGTCCGCCTCCACTCTCAGCTCTGGGTTGCCCGTGGGAACGTCAGCCATTCCCAACCACGAGAGGGCCTGGCTGTGTGTCCTTGGCTCCCCCAGTCTAGGCTCCAGGCAGAAACACTGCCAGTCGCTCACCGGGCCATTTCCTTGGTCTCCTGCCGCGCGGTCGCCATCTTGATCATGTCCCTCAGGAGGGGCATCCCGCCTTCTTTGATCAGCAGAGGGCAGTACTTGTCCGCTGTGGGCAGGTAAGGGTAGACAGCACGTGACCAGGGCGGGACTTCTATCAGCCAGTGGCCCCCGAAACCCTCCCCTGCTCTGAGGACGGCCCTCCCAGAAGGGGAGATGAAGACCTGGGCCTGAGTGAGGGCAAGGCTGCAGGAGCCATGTTGGCCTAGCCCCAAGGCCAAGTTCCTGAGGCCACCTGGGGGAAGTGAGGGGTGAACCCCTTGGGAAAGGCTCTTCCCTTTGCTACATGGTGGCATTTCCCCCAAATGTCACCCAGTCCAGCCCCTTCTATTCTCTTCGAAGTGTTTGTAAAAACAAAAGCTTCCTAAGCGCTGCCCCTAGGGTGTCTTGATTCAACAGACCCAGGAACCTGTATTTATTTGTACTCTTTTTTTAATTTGTACTTTTAACAAAATATCTCCAGGTGATTCTGGGACCCACGAGGAGGAAACCACCAGGCCTGCCCACTGCGGGGCTTCATGGTTCACTCCCACAAAGAACATTCTAGGGCTCGGGATCCAGGGCTATATAGACACTCCAGAGAGAACACGGGCATTTCAGTGGCCTTCTAGCAGCTGTACAGTATAGTACAGTATACTGGAGCTATTATCATCTCCATTTAATGATGAAAGAGCTGAGGTGCAGAGAAATGAAGTAACCCACTCGAAGTCACTCGAGGGCCCTGTCAGAGAGTCCTGGCTCAGAGCTCTTCCCAGCTGCCACGCTGCCTCTCTGAGGTAAGGTGCTACTTTTTAGTAAGACTAACTTCAAGGAACAAAAAAAATAGGCTGAGCTGGTATGTGCCAAGTGCTCTTCTCGGCACTTTATATGTCTTATTTCACAGCAATCCTATGAGATAAGTACTATTAGCAGCCCATTTTAAATATGAGGAAAATGAGGCCCAGAGAGGTTGAGAAACCTGCTCAAAGTAGCACAGTCAGTCTTCCCCCAGGGCCTGCCCTCTTTTTTTTTCTGGTTTGTTTATAAATGTTTATTAAAATGGAAAGCTGTTTGCTCAGTCTCCCCCACGAGCATCCATCTAGCTGCCTGTCACCTGGTAAGGTACATAACTGCTGCTGTCATAAATGCTTTTGGAATCTTCAGAATAACAACATATCTGCCTTTGCTTAAAAAAAAGTCCTTGTTCCATGCCTTGCAAGCCAACCCTCCTCTTTACACCTTTATATAAAAGGTCTCCAAAATGTTCACCCCAAGCAAGCTGTCCATGGATAAACACATATACGCAGGAGCAAAACAAGTTGGTCTGGACACATCAAAGTCTCAAGTCCACACCCTTCAACTTCCACCTAATTCTGCAGAGGGCCTGCGTCCTCATCCCCTCTGCCTGCCAGTTAACAGAGCAGGATCCAGGCACCAGGGCTCACCACTTTCCACTGGTTCTCTTTTCCCACCAACCTTATGAAGTAGGCATCATCACCACCATTTTACAGAGGAGAAAATCAAGCCCCAGAGAGGTTAAACTGCCTGCCCGAGATCACAGAGCTAGCAAAGCAGAGAACT